GAGGCTTTTACTGACTTGAACGGAATCTATATATGCAGGAGTATTGGTATGACTAGTTATGATAAAATAGAACCAAGCAGAATTTGATTGCATCTTAATTAAGATGAGCGCTACAGACCATATATTTTCTACAGACATGTCAAATAACTTAAAAGTGCAGTGTTTAAATTACCGGCATGCTACAGTACACTGGTTTATATGACTTGCATGTGATTGGGAGGGGAGGGTCTAAAAGCTTAGCTAGGGCAAAAAGTGTTGCCCTGAATTACAGCACCATTTATGTGGCATTGTTAGATTGTGAATATGGTACAGTTTTGTTTCATGTCCCTTTAGGTATTCAGGACAAGAAAAGAGCAAAGGCTGCAGACCTTAAAGACCTCCTCAAACACATCATCATAGCCTGTGTAGCTGTCACTAGTTTGATCTTGGCTGTAATAGTCCTTGTGCACATATACACTTCATTATTTATAAAGAAGAAGCAGTAAGTCACCAATTCATTCTCTCCTCCCCTCAAATGAATGTATCTATGAAATTGCAGCTTAACAACGTGCATCCCAATCCTTGACATTTGTACACTTATAACACTGGTATCATGTGACGGGCTTACTTGATCTAACAGTGGAAACAGCCAATCAAATGCACTTTCTGTTGGGAAATATACTGAAGAACAAGAAAGGTGGAGTTGGATAACTGATTTTGATTCTGGAACACATAGCATTAATTTGGAAGAACAAAAAATAATCAGATACGAATTTCAGTTCTAAAAATACATTATGTTGTTGTATCTTCCTGCAAGTGTCACTATGCTATAATGGTAGTGTTCCATATGGTAACAAAACTGTACATGCTGCATGTACAGTTTTGGCACATCAATACTCTGAAGAACCTGATCTGTTTTCTGCAGAAATATTATTATTACTCACACACAGTCCTTGGCAATGATGACCTTTCCCTGTGATCAGCACACACCTATATATTCTGTATTATTGCAGCATGTAACTGGATTGGATCAACAAAGTATGGAAATCTTAACTGAGTCATAAAGCTCCCTTAAGGCAACCATCTCTTAGCCTAATCTTATTCACAGGGTTTTTTGGCTAACCATTCTTCTCTGAGCACCCGCAAAAGCAGAAAACAAAACATTTGTGTTTTTATACTAACTTAATACATTTCAGAATTTCATTAAATATGTTATCTATATGAATATGATTAAATCACGTATAGTGAAACTAATGCATCTTCTGAAACAGCCAACTGGATATAAGGAGCTTTGTAAATGTGCCCAGCCCCCTTCTTGCTGACATAGTGGTGGGGCATGAGTAGGCTAACTGGCAGCTCTAAAACTATCCTTATATGCCCTGAAACCTCCCTCCTCCCAGAAAAGGTACTCAAGTGATGAGGAACAAGTGACTGTAATCTGCCATAGACCGGTCTTTTAGCAATCTTACTGCTAACCACTCTTTGATATTCATAGATGCTTTTTAATGTTAGATCATTTGAATATTGTTATAGGGAGCCTGTTACAACAAATAAGAACACTGATGAGGAAGATGAACTTGACCGAACTGAAATCACATCAACTGAAGAAAAGGGAAGCCAACAACTACTAGATAACACTGTTGACATTGAAAATCAAAACACTGTTGACACTGAATATCAGAACACTGTTGACATTGAAAATCAGAACAACAACAACTTAAGCTCACCACCAGCAATTATTTTAACAGATTGTGAAGAAGTCAGGAAGCCTTTCAAAACCCAGCCTGTTGAAACAATTTTCTCTCCAAGAATATCCCCACAAAAGACCGACGTACTACCCTTAGCTGAATGTTTAGTGCATTCACCTGATTGCTCTTTACCTTCACTCAACAACATAGGTGAGAACCTGAAAGTACAACCTAGAACTTTCAAAATGAATATTTCCTCTGACAATCAAGAACTGCATAGTAAACTTAAAGATCATGACTATAAAAGGTTTCAAAGCAAAGATACTGTTCCTCACAGAAAAAAATTAAAGAAAAGATCCTCCAGGCAAAGATCCTCCAGGCATGGAACCCAGTCCATTGAACCCAAAAGTGTTAACACATATGGCTCACCTAAGCAGCAATGCTACAGCGATCAAAGTTCAGTCCATGATTCCCCTAAAGTTTCCCTTGCTTTAGACACTAATGAAAATACTAATGAATCAAACCTTTTCCAACACGATGGTTCTGTGTGTGCCTGTCAAAGGTTCTAATACAGATTCATATTGTCCCTAAAGAAGTAAGGAGTTATTGATCAGGGTCCAGAATCATTCAGTCCTGATCTTTTTACCATGCTTAATCATGATGGAACTGTATAGTATCCTGGAGCACACATGTTGCAATCATGCTAACAAATAAAAAATAGGTTTGATATTGGGTTGCTAGTCTAGCCACTTTTGATTTGTTCAGTTAACTTAATGTTTTAATTGTCATGTGCCCTCACATTCTTAATCGGCACCACTTCAGAAAGGTAGACAAACTAGGCCACAGCACTTTGCAAGGAAATAGAAGTTTCAACCTGTAAGCAAAATGTATGTGCATGGAATATTGAGACCACGTTCATTGCACCAATTATGTTGAAGTAAAGGAGTATATTCATACAGAACTATATGAATGTGGCCTTATGAGTAACTGGAAATCTAGGACAGAATGTGGAGATTTAACTTTTGGCTTTTTTCAATTAAAAAAAGATCTTATCAGTCTCAGGGAGGTGGGGGTGAGTGAAGTTGGAGACACACAAAATGCCAGGTGCTAATGGCCAGTATATATATATATTGTTTGCAGTGAATCAGTGGTAATATGAGATAATCCTGGCTCTACAGCAGCTTAGAACCCTCCATATGTTTGAGAACTAACAACTCCCAGCATTTCTGGCCATTGTGTTTACCGACTACAGATGATGGGAACTGAAGGCCAAAAGAGCTGGAGGGTACCAGGTTAGGGGAGGCTGCTCTACAGCCTATGCAACTTAAGTAATTAAGCACTGGGTTAAGAAGAACCCAGAGAGCTAATTCAAAGTTTTCAAAATGAGCACAAGTCCTGCTGATATTTGAGCCAGGAATTCCTATGTCTGAGTTGTAATGTGAGGGGAGCAAGGAAGGTGCTGCCCATCCATCTTAGAACCTGGTGGGCCAGAGAGATCGGCTTAAGCAGTTTAGCAAAATATTCTGAAAGGGTGTGAGACAAGCTAAAGAAAAGAAAGCCCTATAAATTCAAAACTAACTTTATTATATAATTCTGTCTTATCAAGGATAGGCACTTTTCCAGTTATAAGAAACAGATAAAAATGTTTGAAAGATAATTGTGTTTATTTTCTAAGCCTATATCTGTGAATATAACAAATGGATAATTGAATGACCTGATATATAGTGACTTCTTTACAAAAATGCTTCCCCATACCATCTGGACAGCAATATATAAATATTTACAATGGAAAAATAGGCAAGGAAAGAGAAATAAGTAGTCTTCATTATCCAAATTAATTTCTAATACATCAGATCTGAACACAAAATACTTCATTCACATCTATTCAGTATTTACATGTTTCATTACTTGAGAGCACTGAGGTTTTAACTTTATTTTTAGAATATTTGTTGTATGTTACTCCTGTTATGTTTCTAATATCTGTTTATAGCAGTTAAAAATTTTCTGGAAAAATAAATCGTTGTTTTGAAAATGTTGAAAACATTAATGTAAATAATTTTAAGTGACTTTTTTTCCACACAGTCAAGTACACCACAACACTGAAAAAGAACTCAGGTGCAGATTTTCTGATTGGATCATGACTTGGAAGGTTTTAACAAAAGTAGATTCCAAGCTGCAATGAAAAATTATAAATCTGCTTTGTGTTAAAAGAAACAATATTTTTGGCAAGTGGATACAATGACCTGGAGAGTAATATAAAATTATAGTGGAATATGCTTCAAAAGTGCTAAACAAAATATAATGATTGTTAATTTTAAAAATAGTTAACAATGGAAAACCCATTTAATAATATCAACCATTAAATATAGGAAGTAAGCCTTGTTGCTTTCTGCACTAGTGTTGCACAATCACATTACTGAAAACAGGTTGCTTGCAATAATGACAGACACCTATTGCATGCCATTTGGTTTTAGTGTGCTGACCTTGACTGCCACATCCAACAACAGTTATATTTCAGTGATCCTGGCTACATTCATTGCAAAGAATGAATCATATGTGTGAATTACGTCGCCCTCTAGTGCCCAGAGAGACCCTAAGTCTTGGTTCTCTGGCCTTATAATGTTCGTTGAAATCTAATCTAAAGCTAAGAAATCGGAGGCTTTCATCAGAACTGGTCGTTAGTAACACCAAAAACTGTTGCACAATGCCCTGAAAGAAAAATGAGAAATTCGTAAGATATTCATAAGAACTCACACATACCAACATGGGAGTGTAACAGACTTAGTGTCTGAATTGTGCCACTGTTCCACAGTAACCCTTGAAAATCCCAAAGTCAGCAAGCAACAAGTGAAAACTCATCTGCCGGAAAGAAGAGGCAGCTCTTACAATACTGGTCTATACAAAAGCGGTTAGACAGTTGTTCACTCTTGCCTTAATGTGGGAAAGGTTTCAACAAAGTGGGAGCAGTTAAAGAATACCCACTGACATCAGTACCTTGGTGAGCATGAAATTTGTGCCAGCGAGAATACCTAATGCAGAGAGGAATTATTTCAGTGCTGGAGGTAATGGTCCAGCAGAACATAGACTCTGGACTGCAGTAATTTATGTCAGCACTTTCTATCAGGGCAACCTTTATGCTGTGTTTGATTACTACTCTATTCAGGACAAATGTCACATTCCCTAAGGAACCATAAAGTAACCATATTTCTGTTACTGTTGTCTTGCAAATCCTGAATTGGCATGGATAGTGCTGCATTAAGCCATATTTACTTTAAAACAGACAAAAGGTACTGACTATTGGTCCATTAATATAAAAATGATCTTTTATAATACCTGATAAAAATGGGTAAGTAGTCGCAGCTGTGAACACATTTTTGGTACTGAACCTTGAAATTCTTTAATCCTTTTCATCTCTTCCTCTTGTTCTGAAGCTGTTACTCCCCATTCACCCTTAAAAACACAAATGTAAAAAATGGGTAGAGGAACCAAGATGTGCATATATACACCTCTGGTAATATGCCTGTTTTTCTTAGATTAAGCAGTAAAGTGGAGTGACCCAAGGGGCATGATCAAACAACCCACAGTTTGTTAACCATGGGTTGTTTGGGAGTAAGGTAGAATGAATGAGCATTCTGACTTCTAACTTCACCTAATTCGAATGATATTGAAGAACGTGTTATAAATCAGGGTTGTTTCTCTCCAAACAATCCAGTGTGTAGGGTACAGATAACACAGAACAAGCCAGGATGGAGTTCACCTGGGCTGTTCAGTGCACCAGAAACAGTTAAGCAATTGAAAGCCAGCACATTGTCTCACTCCCAAACAACCCGTAGTTGTTGCATTGTATTAACAAGGCCAGTCTCTTAAATTTTGGTTGGTGATTTCTTAACCTTAGGAGCCAAGAAGTTAATCAGAAGAAATTGTGTCAGGGAGAGAATACAAACATGAATTGAGAATTCATGCCAAAAAGTTAGTAAGGCTGCAACTTTATTTTTACAGGGAAATTAATGTTTGAGCTTCTAATTCATTGTCTGCTATGACCTCCGGTATACTCCATAATCCAGGTTTAGTTTAGATGCATGTGTAAGGTTGCTAACTTATGCTTGCTTCCTAGGAGTAAGCTCCACTGAGCATAGTGGAACTTGGATCTAAGTTGATGTGAATGTGGCCCCCAAGGCCTTGTTCTGTGGCACTCTTGCCACTTAGAGATACCTCTTCCTGAGGCTCAGGAAGAGAGTGGGTCAGGCTGGCGGTCTTGCGAGAGTTTGCCCCAGCATGCCCTGTGCTGCTTCAGCTGACAAGTACAAAGGCACTCAAGAGGTCATCAGCAGGAGCAGGCTTGGCATACTGGAGAGAGTTCATCAACTCGAGTACAAGAGGCTCAGCATACAGATTTCAAGAAAGAAGGAGGGGTCAGGGGGATCACATGGGAGAGTTTCTGGGTGAGAGAAACAAGGGAAAAGGGGTTGGGCCACCTCAGAGGAGCAAGGTGCTGCCCCTGGGTTCTGTGTTGAAGTTCTCATGCAGTATTTGAGGTATGAAATGTTGGACCACCCTGTTTTACCCAATCACTTCAAGTTTAAAAGAGGTTATCAGGAGAATTTTTTAAACAAAAACCTCTTCTACCTCAAGTTCTCGTTCTTTTTTCCTCTCCTCAAACTGCAATCGTAGCTGTAATTCTTCCAAGGCAGCTCGGTACATTGTATCTTGGGCATTTTGAAACTCAAGAATCTGATCAAAGACAGCTCGAAGCTGGTTGAGAAGCATCTATATAAAGTTAGAAAATGGAAAGGAAATCAAGGTCTGATAAATGAAGTTTTTAAACATAACCTAATGTTTACAAGACAGATGCTAAGCAGGTGATGGGCATAACTTGGATGGCAATTCCTCCTCCCAACAAAGGGATGCACAGAAATACTGTTTGAGCACAAAAATTGTCCGATTGTCACCAAACATGTTGGAGTTACTAGGACTGCAAGCCCTAAATACTCTTACTAAGAAGAAAGCCTCATTGAAACCTAGGCACTGCACACTGCTAAGTAAACAAGAGGAAAAGAAATATTTGTTAAGACATACCTAAATAGATCATTACAGAAGTATGAATTCAAAAACACTTACTCTTGAATCACTGTCCAGTAAACAGCGAGATATAATTGTATCTAAGAAAACTTCATGCGCTGCAATGATATGATCCAAGTCCTGAGCTTGCTGAACCTGGTTCCATAGTTCATCCCATGAGCATTCAAGCACCTATGGAACAAAAACAAAAAAATCAATTCAGGCATACCTTGGAGATACTGTGGATTCAGTTCCAGACCACCTCATTAAAGCAATGATAGCAATAAAGTGAGCCACATAAAAGTTTTGGTTTTCTAGTGCATATAAAAATTATATTTACATTATACTGAAGTCTATTAAGTGCAACGGCACTGTGTGTAAAAAAATGCACACACCTTAATTAAAAATACTTTATTGCTGAAACATGCTAACCATCATCTGAGCCTTAAGCAAGTCGTCATCTTTTTGCTGGTGAAGGGTCTTGCCTCAATGTTGGTGGCTTGACTGGTCAGGGTGGTGGTTGCTGGAGGCTGGGCTAGCTGTGGCAACCTCTTGAAATAAGACAGCAGTGAAGTTTGCCGCATCGATTGACTCTTCCTTTCATGGAAGATTTCTCTGTAGCATGTGATGCCTTTTGATAGCATTTTACCCACAGAACTCCTTTCAAAATTGGAGTTGATCCTCTCAAACTCTGCCAGTACTTTCTCAGCTAAGTTTATGTAATATTCTAAATCCTTTGTGACCATTTCAACAATTTTCACAGCATCTTCTACAGGAGTAGATTCCATCTCAAGAAACCACTTTCTTTGCTCATCCAGAAGACGCAACTCCTCATCAAAGTAGCAATTTCAGAGTGTAGCAACTCAGTCACATCTGCAGGCTCCACTTCTAGTTCTCTCGCTATTTCCACCACATCTGAGGTTGCTTCCTCTTGAAGTCTTGAACCCCTCAAAGTCATATATGAGGGCTGGAATCACCCTCTTCCAAACTTCTGTTAAGGCTGATATTTTGAACTCTTTCCATGAATCATGAATCTTCTTAATGGTGAATCTTTTCCAGAAGGTTTTCAATTTATTTTGCCTAGATCCATCAGAGGAATCACTTCTATGGCAGCTATGGCCTTATGAAATGTATTTCTTAAAGTGTAAGACTTCAAAGTCAAAATTACTCCTTGATCCATGGGCTGCAAAAAGCATGTTGTGTTAGCAGGCAGGAAAACAATATTAATCTCACTGTACATCTCCATCAGAGCTCTTAAGCAGCCAAGTGTGTTGTCAATGAGCAGCAATATTTTGAAAGATTTTTTTTTCCTGAGCAGCAGGTTTCAACAATGGGCTTAAAATATTCAGTAAACCAGTTGTAAATACATGTGTTGTCACCCGGACTTTTATTGTTCCAAGTAGAGAACACAGGCAGAGTAGATTTAGCATAATTCTTAAGGGCCCTAGGATTTTTGGAATGGTAAATGAGCACTGGCTTCAACTTAAAAGTCACCAGCTGCATTAGCCCCAACAAGAGACTCAGCCTGTCCTTTGAAGCTTTGAAACCAGGCATTGACTTCTCTTCTCCAACTATGAAACTCCTAGATGGCATCTTTTTCCAATATAAGGCTGTTTCATCTAAACTGAACATTTGTTGTTTAGTGTGGCCACCTTCACTAATTATCTTAGTTAGATCTTCTGGATCTGCTTCCCCTTGAACTTTTATGTTACAGAGATGGCTTCTTTCCATAAGCCTCATGAACCAACTTCTGCTAGTTTCAAACTTTTCTTCTGCAGCTTCCTCACATCTCACAGCCTTCAGAGAACTGAAGAGAGTTAGGGCCTTGCTCTGGTTTAGGCTGTGGTTTAAGGGAATGCTGTGGCTAGTCTGATCTTCTATCAGGCCACTAAAACAGTCCTCGTATCAGCAATAAGGCTGTTTCACTTCCTTATCATTTGTGTGTTCACTGGAGTAGCACTTTTAATTTCCTTCAATAACTTCCTTTGCATTCACAACTTGACTAATTGTTTGGTGCAAGAGGCCTAACCTTTCGTCTATTCCGGCTTTCAACAGCCTTCCTCACTAAGCTTAATCATTTCATGCTTTTGATTTAAAGTGAGAGATGTAGAATACTTTGTTCAGTTCTGGGCACCCACGTTTTAAAAGATGTAGAAAAAATAGAAAGGATTCAGAGGAGGGCAACAAAGATAATTTGGGATCTGGAGACCTAGCCCTACGATGAGAGACTGAGAGCTGGGCATGTTCAGCCTCAGGAAGAGAAGACTGAGAGGGGATAAGATAGCATTCTACAAGTAACTCAGAGAGGAAGGTCAAGATCTCTTCTCGCTGATACCAGACTGTGGGACATGGAACAATGAACTTAAAACTATAGCACACTGGATTCAGGCTAGTCACTAGAAAACACTTCCTAACTGTCAGAGCAATATGACACTAGAACCAATTGTCAAGAGAGGTCATAAGCTCTCCCACCCTAGAGACACTCGGCAAAACTGAACGGCTGAGCTGTGAGATGGTGTGATTTGGCATCCTGCACCAACGGGATTGGGCTCAATGGCCTTCTAGGCTCTTTGCATCTCTACTATTCTAGGAATCTAAGTGCAACTCCTGCTTTCACTTGAACACTTAGAGGCCATTTCAATATTGTTGTGTCTCAGGGAACAGAGAGGCCCAAGGAGAGGGAGAGAGACTGGTTGGTGGAGCAGTCAGAACACAAACAACATTTATCGATTAAGTTTGCACCTTATATGGGTGCAGTTCATGGCTCCCCATGACAATTACAACAGTAACATCACAGATCACTGATCACAGATCACTTTAACAAATATGATAAAGAATGAAACAATGGAAAAGATTGAAATATTGCAATAATTACGAAAATGTGACACAGAGACACAAAGTAAGCAAATGCTGTTGGAAAAACGATGCCAATAAACTTGCTTGGTGCAGGATTGTCACAAACCTTCAATTTGTAAAAAAACCACAATATCTGTGAAACACGATAAAGCAAATAGCAATAAAATGAGGTATGCCTGCATTGAGTTGCAGTTTGTTTTGGATCTTGTTGTAACACTGATTTCTTTACACATAATTAATCTCATGTCAGTAGAAATATTTTTCCTATATAAAAAAACAAACAAAATGGATGGTTAAAGGGTACCTCAAATGTAATGTAATACTGCATTTGATGAATGAAATGGACCATTTCTGATGCCAGAACGTGACACTGATGCAGTACCGCAGAAAGTTCTGTAAGAAATTCAAAGTATTTGTATATTAAATACTAGAACAGAGGGCACATCTAACCAGTTGTTTTTAAAAATACAGCTATATTACAATAGCTATCCTATCACTTCTCTGTAGGGAGCAAGATATACAAGCTGATAACAAGGGTTCTCAAAGAAATGAGAAATACTAGATGTAGAGCATGATTTTTTTCACATTCTAGTACATTACTGTCATAAACGTGCACTATAGCTGGCTGTCGTTAATATGGTCCTTCCATATTACACATAATATAGTCTGTGATCAAACAAGAAATTGTTGCTAATAAGATAGGTTGTGATGAGTCTGGAGTTTTGTCCAATGCAAAACTCTTTAAAGAATGGAGTTAGAACATGGAATAGACAGTCTACTAGATCAGAATACAGGACTTCCAAAGTCAATGGGTAAGAAATGGCTGCTCAAAATAATCATGCATTTCACATGATCGACTGACTACTCTGCATTATAGGCAGGAAGTTCAGAAACCTCCAACCTGGCTACAGCCTGTATCAACTTATGGATTACAGTCAACAAGGGTTACTAAAGATGCTAAAGAAAAGAAAGAAGTTCCAAACATATTGCGTATTTATAACCAGAAGCATAATTTTGATAGGAATTTCTTCTACAACAGGACCCCCTTATCTGCCATTCCAGTTATTGTAGTTTCACTTAACCAAGGTTGAGTGAAACCTTGCATGGGGGTTAGGGATACAGGGCCCCCACAAAAGTGGAACAACCACAAATATCTCTAGGGAACGATGTGCTCTGTTTAGGGATGCCATACTCTCTGTTTCAGTACTAGCCAGCCTCACTCACCTGTTTTGTCTCTCAGTCGGCATAAAACCTCCAGAGATATTTGCAGCTTTCTCTAGAGCTATCTGTGGTTTTTCCACTTTTGCAGGGGTCCTGCACTCCTAACCCAAGCAAATGTATTGTTTGCTACTATCCAGGCTTTTAGGTATCTGCTGGGGGCCTTGGAACCTATTCCTCTTGGATATGGGGGCCCTGGTGTAATCATTTCCCTTACAGCGAGGCCTGTCACTTGATTTTTTTTCTTGTACAACCTTGTGTGGCTGGAAAGCCTTTCGTTGACAAGAGCTGAAAGCTGGTGTTGGGTGAGCCAAACCCAAAGGTAGACAGGGCAAACTCATTTTCTTTTTGGATTGTCCTTCTCTCTCCCTCCCTCCACCCTGTTTCCCTCCTTCTGTCCCCAGGCTGCTGGGGAGAGGAACAAGTGTCCTTTGCCAGGGACTTAGAAATACTGCCAAGAACCATACATTGCCAACCTCTGTCCTAAAGTTACTGCAGGATGCCTATTTACATGAACTGTAGGAATAATGCTCTGAAAAGCAACCACACTAAATTATTGAGGTTAGAATGTCAACCTAGCTTTGCAGTTCCCATATATACTTTCCTTTCCCCCCTATCTTGTTTTTAATACAGCCATATAAAATATACAAAAGGGGGTATTCTTGCCCGAGGCCCCCAGTCAGCCATGTTTATACAGGGATATTCATGTGTGTCCAGGGACCACATCCAAACCCCCAAATCACCCTGTTGTTTATTAGCAGATCTATGTAACTACCATATTTGGTGACCTGCCTAGGAGTTTCCAGCGGCTGGGCATGTTCAACACTGGAAGGCAGTGCCTACCTCTTCAGCATAAGATCCTTGGAGATTACAACACTCTTTTGGGAGAGTGTCACTAAAATGCTTAGGCCAAATTTTGTGGGGAGTGCAGATAAGGCATTGTCAGTCAAGGGTACTCAAGTGTGGAACAAGCTTCAAGAGGAGATAAGACCATGCCAAAGCTTCCCTGTTTGCACAACTTGGTACAAAATGCACCTGTTTGCCATAGTCTACCTGTGATAGGGAAAAAGCAAAGAATTCTTAACTACTTGCTGTCACTGAACTCTTAAATACATGTCTATAAAACTTCAGGGAAATAAAGAACCACCAAATCCAGTAAAAAGGTGTCTTATGGGAAAATACAGTACAAAACAGTACAACACAGAACCACCAAACCCAGAACTAAGTAGCATATTTGGGCATGTTCAGCTTGCAAACCCATTTCTTTTCCTCAACACAGCTTTTTAACCCACCATTAGTATTATCATAGTAAAGATCAGGGCTAAAGAACAGTTCTAAAAAACTAAAGTTACTAAAGCAAAGAACAGAGAGAAACATCAAGCACTTGAGTAAAAAAATAAGTTCCATTAGGGTTGTATTTTCTGAACCTTTAAAGTTTATTAACTCTTGGTGAATTATTATACACCAAGATTTCAGTGCTGTAGTTAGCAGCTTTATTTTTCACCTTGATGTTGGGAAGATCCAGCAATTATAGAAACGTGCACACTTCAAATGTTATGTAATGCCACAAGATTCAAAAGGGAAATCCCATGGATCTTGTAGTTGGGCTCCAGGGGGGAAGTACATGTGGCATTAATACGCCATGGGTTAAAAAAACCCATGGGATATTGTGGACAAGTGGGAAGAGCTCCTGGGTTGTTTAACTTCCAAACAACCCAGTGGTAAACCCAATTACAAAGGTTTTACAGTGGTCCATGGATCTTAGAACAGCTTTCTTCACTCTAGAACAGGGGTGAGCAATCCATGGGTTCCATATGCAGTACGGCATTCATTCATTCATTCATTCATTCATTCATTCATTCATTCATTCATTCATATCCAGTCTTTTTTTCCTTTCAAGGAACTCAAGGTGGCTTACAAAATTCTGCTCCTCTCAATCTTACCCTCACAATCTTGCCTGATGAAGACATCTGTGCTCTCAAAAGCACCCATATTTTACAACCTCTTGGTTGGCTTACTAAAGGTTTTGAACTAAGATGGATTTTATCAGTAGCATGTATAAGCTGATCTCTCTAATCTACCCAGACCCCCAGCACTGCTATGTAGAAGGCTCTATTCTCATTTACAAATCAGTGGGATTAGAAATGGAAGGCAGACTTAAAAGCCTTAGTGCCCCCCAGAGTCTCTCCCCCCAAAAAACCCCATGTTTATTATAACACAGAAGTTTGAATGAACAACTACAGTCACATGGGCAAGGAGGACGAGTATGAGGACTACCTAGACTAGCCTAAACTTTACCTCATTCTGGATGGGAACCTTCCCAGAAATTGCACAGTTCCCATTGTCCCTGATCCTGAGGTTCCCTGAGCTCTGTGTTTTACAAGCTAAGAACTTGCATTGTACATTTAAAAGCAGCCTTTGAAGGTTAATTCACATTTCTGCTACTGATTAGTACCCAGGGCTTGGATGAAGAACATATTAAAAGCTGCGAAGCAGTCAAATACATTATGAACTACTGGAGAACCCTCAGAAAACTGACAAGCCTTCTCTGAACATTTTGCTGAGAAGGTTTGATTGGAATCAACCCAGTTACAAGTGAGGATGAATTCACTTTTGACACACAAATACAGAGAGAATAAGACTCAGGCTCATAGAATCATCTCTCTTGATTACTGTCAGCATAAGAAACAAAGAAACCTATATTCATAGGCTTCCATTTTAATTTTTAACATTGAACAATTATTGGTTTTAAAGAGCCAGTTGACCAGTTTGGTAAAGTGGCTTTACCAAAACCCCAACAATCATCTTTTTGGCAGTCTATAAACAGAAATGTTAACAATTTTCAATGAATTTTAAGAAGTGCATGCTCCTAATATGAAAAAGAAAAGCCACGAGGAAAAGAAAAAACAGGGGCTTCTGTTTTTATATCAACTTTGATTAATTTTAGATCTGTGTCCCAGCACTATATCAAACAGCCATAGCCACACTATGGATGGGTGAAGTCCATCTGAACATCAGTAGAAACTATGATTTCCCAGTTTCATAACTAATATTACGTAACAACGATCAAACAACAGATTAAGTCCTCCGAATTCTTAACACGCTATGGTCATTCATTCAAATTCTAGAGGTACTGAGGTAAACTTATGTAAATTTAGTATGAGATTCACCGATCAAAAATGTCCTCCTTTTTGTCACATTCCAGTGTTTCCCAAGATCAGTCTTCTCCAGCTGAGCACCATCCAGGTGTATTGGGCTTTAACTTCCATGGCCAATGGTCAAGAGTGCTGAGAGTCACAGTCCAAAACATCTGGAGGACACCAATTTGGGAAGGCTGTACTTGCTTTTCATTATCTTACAGTGCAATCTATCTAGAAGTAAGTCCTGTTGAGGTCAGTGCAGCTCTTTCCTAGGTAAATGGGCACTGTATTGCAGCCTGAGAGAGGTAGGGATAGTGAGGAATTCTCACTATTTGGACATCTGTTTCACTGTTTGGTGAAAAAAATGGGTTTCTATGCTTTTTGCACCAGAATTGTTGAGAAAGTAGTGAAATCAGTGCATGTCTCTCTCAAATATCCTCTTTATTGCATATATATCCATTGATTAAAATATTTATATTCCAGCTTTCTGGAAATCCAAAAGGCCAAAGTAGATGCACAAAATTCCATTAATACAGGCCAAAAATATAAATAACTCCTATGCACAAGAAGTGCATCCTAATCCAAAGACTAATTTGAAACAGCATCTCAAACAGGAATATGCACAATTATTTACAGCACAGGCCAAGAAAACCATCTTACCCATTCCAAGTACACTGGGAGCTTTCAAGGTCTGGCTTTCAGAAATGCACCAGTCAATAACAAACTGCAATGCTCTATTGCCCCCTCAAGGCTGTTTCAAAAATTTCACTGCTCCTTATTAAGCCCATTTCATATAACTCCTCTACCATTAAGCAGACTTCCCACTGAAACGCTTTCATTAAAAGGAGAACAGGGGTGAGGCATGGGGGAACCATTCCTGACATAAAAATAGTTCTTACTGTCTGGTCACGCCATGAAGCTGCAGCCCGCCCCTGCTGACTGTTCAGCAGCTGCCTTAAAAAGTGGACTGCCAAGCAGTGAGCCTACAATCCCCAAAACAGGAGCAAGTCTTCTGGCAACCCTAGGCCAACCGGACCAGATATGGGTAGCTGTTCAGGTAGGCCAGAAATATTTGCAAAACTCTTTTCCACTCACAGCAAAGAACTCCCTAGCAGCCCTCCAATGTCATGAACACAGGACGGGAAAGCTTACTAGCTAGTATATTTGAAAGGTGGATTGACATGCCTTCTAGGTTATGCACTGACTATTCATCTCATCTATGGGAAACCTTGAGCTAGAAGGTTCATACCTGCAGGAAAGCCAGAGCCCAGTGTAGCCACTAGTTATGGTGGAGATGAGAATGGAATCTGAAACTTCCTACCTCAGACTGCAAAACTAAAACACATACTTAGTAAGGAGTGGGATGTAATTCTGAATGAACAATGCATACATTTTGTACATATGCTCGTAGCCACTAGCACAGTCTACAGAGAAGCTGAAATCAATTTGTAATTCCTTTCAGTATTTGCAAAAGTTTGCTTCAAAAGCACACAAACACCTGAGGTCCATTTAATAACATATGCGCACAGTGGCAAACACATGCTTGCCACTGCTGCCTGTATATGCTGGGGAGCAATAATCAATAGTAATCAACATAGAAACAGAGCGAGTCAGAAGGGGCCACCCGGGCCATCCAGTCCGACCCCTGGCTCTAGCCAGCTCCGCTCACAACATGCCTACCATGTGCATGTCTAGCCTACCCTTGAACACCCTCACCAATGCAGCCTCAACCACCTCCCATGGAAGCCCATTCCATACCCTCGCGGTCCTAATTGTCAGGAAGTACTTCCTGGCATCTAAATGGAACCTTAGTTCCCTGAGCTTCTGCAGGGGAGAACAGGTCTCTCCCCACCTCCATGTGACAGCCCCTCACATACCTATATGTCATCAACAGATCCCCTCAGAGTCCCCTCTTCTCCAAGCTGAAAAGACCCAGTTCCCTCAGTCTCACCTCATACGGCCTTCCCTGTAATCCAGCCACCATCCTTGTGACCCTACACTGCACTGACTCTAACCCAGCTATATCCTTCCTGTAATGAGGGATCCAGAACTGAACACGATATTCCAGTTGCGGGCGCACCAGAGTCATATACAGTGGTAGAAATAGCTCTCTTGAGCTAGAAGCCACGCTTCTGGCTATGCAACCAAGGATGCCATTCACCCTCTTGACTGCCACATCACACTGCTGACTCATGTTTAGCCTGCAGTCTGTCATTACCCTGAGATCCCTTTCACAAGTGCTGCTCTCCAGCCACTTGTCCCCTAACCTGTAATTATGACACCCATTCTTATGCCCCAAGTGCAAGACCTTGCACTTATCCACACTGAATGCCACCCTGTTGTCTCCTGCCCACTTCCATAGTCTGTCCAGAACCTTTTGGATCTGGAGTATCTGCTCCTCAATTGTGGCCACTGCCCCAGTTTTAGTATCGTCTGAGAATTTGATCAGCAAACTGTTCACCCCTTCTTCCATGTTGCTGATGAAAAGATTGAACAGGATTGGGGGACCCCGCATGTCACTGGCCACCATCCTGATGATTCCCCACTAATGGTTACCCTCTGCTTTTGGTCAGTTAATCATGCCCTAATCCATTGGACAGTGCTTTGGTGTATCCCAAAACTCCTCAATTTCTCCACCAGGATATCATGGGGCACTTTGTCAAAGGCCTTGCTGAAATCCAGGTATACCACATCCACTGCATCCCCTCCATCTAGCCATCTCGAAACCTTGTCATAGAATTCCACAAGGTTTGTCTGGCAGGACGTTATTGTGGAAGCCGTGTTGTGTGGCCGCCAGCCTCCCTTCCCTATCTAGGGTTACTAGATCTCTCGCTATTATGAGCCTTTGCATTGTTTTTCCTACAATGGACATAAGACTAACTGGTCTGTAATTCCCCATGTCCCTTCTACTACCTTTTTTGAAAATTGGGACCACTGACGCCACCCTCCAGTCCTCTGGAACTTCGCCCATTCGCCACAAGGCCTCAAAAATGGAGCCCAAAAGGGTTTACTCCTGGGCCAGTGTATACAGGACTGAAATCTCAATCTTTGTAGGAAGGAGAATACAAGGGCTGGGGTTTCCCACGTTTGCAGCAGAATCCAAGAGGCTACAGCAGTGGAACAGAAGACCAGTGCTACGGCACATTGAGCCAACAAAAGCAGCATGTTTGAAATTTGGAAAGAATCAGTGCCCCTCTGCATAGCACTAGGAACAAACTCAATATTTAAGAAAAATACAGACAAATTAAAGAAAGATTCAGAGGAAAAGTACAAAAATGAGAAAAGGTTTAGAAAACCAAGTAGATGAGGCAAAGGAAGAGTAAAACAATTTGCTATAATCTGCCTAGAAAAAAGAGAAGTTGCAGGTTTTAAAAATATTTAAAAGGAAGACTATGAACTTCCTTTTATAGGAAGTTGCAGGCTTTAAAAATATTTAAAAGGAAGACTATGAACTTCCTTTTATAGGAGAGGGGAAGCCCACACAGATAGTGAAAACAACAGTGATACACACTTGGCTAGTTTTTATGGCATTCAGAGCAAAACTGCAAGTATTCGAAGAGCAAACCATTTGGGCATGAAATGTGGTATTACTTAGCACTTCAACCCTAACCCCCCCCTTAAAAAAAAAGATCTGTAGCCTTTATGACTCTAAAAATAACCTCAAAACTAGGCTTTCTCTTATGGAAATTGCCTAATTTATACCCCTAAGTTTATACCCCGGCTATGGAATGTGCTCCCTAGCTTGTCGGAGCCAAGTCAAGACTTTTTTATTCACCCAGTATTTTAATGTTTAAAAGATTATAATTATGTTTTACTTCAGTCATGGGTTGTTAGTCTTATTGTTTGGGGTAGTTATAATTTTTTATATTGTTGTATTTATTGAATTTTGTTTGTAACCTGTCCAGAGACACATAGTGATTGGATGGGTTAGAAATATCCCAAATGAATGAATGAATGAATGTGTCATTACAGTCTGTAGAAACAGGGCCATAGAATGCTTCCCTTTCCAAGACTGGAGGTAAAAGGGTTAGGGTCTAATTCCTAGGGGTCGACTTTCCTTGCTCAGTGGAAGAAGAACTGCAGCCCTGCTTCCTACTTTGAGGGAGAAGCATGTTTGCCAGACGCACCAGCTTACAGGAAAATGCCAGTCACAGAACAGCAATTTAGTACCCCTCAAAAAGCCCCAACAAGCTGTGCAGACCCTCCCCTTGGCGCCACAGACAGAACAAAATGCTTCACTCAGACAGGGTGTCAAAAATAGATTACCATGAGCAGAGCAGAAGGAAAAGATTTCAAGTCAGCCTCAGAGCAGTGGAGAACCTTATTCGTGGGAGACTTATCTGCATCATGCTCCCAAAAGCAGGGTATCTTCAGCAGCCCTGGCTAACAGAAATGCCCTCTCACCTCCCTTTAGTCTCAAACATGGAACAGAAGGAAGCTGTTTCCCTTTCAGTCTCAGAGGCAGTGTCTGCCATTTTGTTTTAATTTCCCCAAACACCACTCTGTTTCCCAGGTTTAAAAAAGGAACATTAAGAGAGTAAAAATGTAATAATATTGATTACTACTACATTGGTCCTGCGTATAAAGATTAGAAGCCACTCAATGAAATTGTTAGGTTGTTCAGATTTTAATGATATCCTATCACATATTTTTTATTTTATCATATTGAATATTTTTATTTGTAACCCACCCAAGGAGCATTATGGCTAATGGGTAGGATTAAAAAAATCAAATAAATAAATGAGCAAGCCCAGCCAGCGTTTGGATTGTTTGCTTACCTGGCATGTTTTTTAGCAGCTTTGCATTGCACATATGTCCCTTCCATATATCAGTGAGAATATATTCCATTCGTTTTGCCCTCCACAGGAAGTTGAACACCCTCAGGTAGTGGCTCATGCACTCTCGTGTAAACACCTGCAAGTAACATCAACATGCAGACTTTAAAAATGATTGCTTTAAAAATGATTGCTACTTTGAATATCCCAAGTATTGCTAATGCTTTCATTGCTCCAAATATTTCTGTTTGCTGAACAGGGAAACACTTTGGGTTAAGTGATTTCCAATTCCAAATTTTTAAGCACAATCAAATTGAGCAATGTCAAAATTAATAGGAAGACCATACCTGTAAAAAAGGAGTTCTTTGTGAGCAACAAACAAATACAAGGAAGGCCCCAGAGGCAGAAACCACATTTTACAGATAGGAGGTCCCAGGTTTAATCACTAATCTCTCTATCACAGCGATGGCGAACCTATGGCACACATGCCACAGTGGCCATGCAGAGCCCTCTCTGTTGGCACATGAGTCAAGTTGCCCCAGCAGCCATGCACATATTCAGAAAGAGTAACAGGGCCAGGTGACATCACTCATTAGCCGCGACTTGCCACAAGAAGTGGCGTCGAACAGGTGGCCAGAGGCAAGCGCAAAAGGTGTGCCAGGAAGGGTGTGGCAGGAAGGGAGCGGTCAAGCTGGCAGTGGCGCCCTCCTCCTCCTCCTCCCAGCCTGCAGCATGTGAATGGCCACCCAAGCCACCCTCCTAGCGCAGTGGCGGGACCCTGTCGACTTGGTAGCCACAGGCACAGCCAGGCAGCCATGCGCCTACCTGCCCGCACACCTGCTCCTGGGCCGAGCTCCTGCGCCAGTGGCCATGGGGGGGGGGGGGGAAGCTGGGCAAAGGGAGCAAGCAACGGGGTCAAGGCAGCAGCAGCAGCTGGAGCGAGGAGGAGGAGAGAGAGGGTGCCCAGGATCAATATGGCACTTCCTGGGGATGGAGGCCAAAACGAGGAAAAGTGGAGGCTGGAACTGCTGTGAAGTGAGAGGAGTGGGCGCATGGTGGGGACCCCCCTCCCCACCCGACCCCACTCACCAAGGCTTGGCAGCGCCATGGGGGCACCTCTAGGAAGATCCCAAAGGAAGCATGGAAAGGATCTTAAATAGCCTCTCCTCACCTTTAGTTTGGGTCTCTCTCCCCCGCATTCTGCCCCTCCAGTAAAATTCCAAGTGCTGCTGAAGCTCCTGCAGCATTCCAGGGGGCTGGTTTGGGGGCAAGGAGGGAGGGAGTGCTTGCGCCCGGGTGCAAGCAAGCCCAGCGTCCCCCCGACTTAGGGGTGCTGAATGTGAACATGGCTCCTTCTCTCTGTTATTGTGTTTTTCTTTTAAGACAAAAGATGTTAATGTATGAGTTGTTTTTTTCTAAACTAAAACCTCAGTATTCCGGTTTTACTGCAGTGTTGGCACTTTGTGATAAATAAGTGGTTTCTGGGTTGCAGTCTGGGCACTCAGTCTCACACTTGGTTGCAGTTTGGGCCTGCAGCTACTGAGTCAGCAGGGTCCCGCCACTGCGCTAGGAGGGCGGCTTGGGAGGCCGCTCACATGCTGCGGGCCAGGAGGAGGCGGCGGCAGGAGGAGGGCGCTGCTGCCCACTCCCTTCCTGGAGCATCCACTGCAGCTGTTGCGCCTGCCTCTGGCCGCCTGTTCGATGCCGCCTCTTACAGCGAGTTGCAGCTAATGGGTGGCGTCATCGCCTGACCCCATTACTCTTTCCGAATACGTGCATGGCTGCTGGGGTGATGCTGGGGCAACTTGGCTCGCATGCCAACAGAGAGGGCTCTGCTTGCCCTCTGTGGCATGCGTGCCATAGGTTCACCATCACTGCCTTAGATGGTTGAACTGCAGCTGTCCTGGTCAAGATCAAGATCAAGCACAGCTGCACTGTCAGGTCACTTGTATCTTCACTGCCCTAAACCAGGCACAGCTTGAATTCCTGCACACTTCCCTCACTAAAGTCACTGTCTCATGAATGAAGTTAAAACAAATACAGCTCCTTTCCCTGAAAGTTTAGTAAACTAAAGAGAAATCACTTGATATAATTAGGGGTCCATTTTGGATTTGATCAACTTGAAACCAAATTTTGTAAGAGGAAGCAAGAGCTGTTAAATTTCTTCTCCTGTCTCTGTCCCTGTCTCTCTTTCTCACACACACGTATATATTTTCTTAAAATACATGAAGTGCCGAAAGGAAGAAAAATGTAAAAGGAAAATAAGAATGCCAAGGGTTCTTAATGTAAAATTCAGATTCCCTCCCCAAATTAAAAAAAAATATATGTAACTGTTTTTCATCCACAGCACTAAGGATCAAGATCATATCCCATGGAATGCAATACAAGATATAGAGAAGTCCACTAAGCTGGACAGCTTGAAAAGGTGACTGGACAATGGCTACTCCTCAGGATGGTGATATGTTACTTCCAATACTGGGGGCAGGATGCTGATATACATCCATTGCTGAAGAGAATGAAGGTGCTACAGCAGTCATATGCTACATTTCCCTCAGGAAGCTGCTTGGCCACTGTGTGAATGGAATGCAGGACTACATGGATCCTTGGTCTGATCCAGTGGGTCCTATGTTCCTCCAACATCCTATTTGGTTAGCAGCACACTTTCTTACGTTCCCAAACCTAATATTCTTCATGTCCTTGATGGTGTACCAAAGAGTGTAGAAAAACCAGTAATTTGCATAAATTAAAACTCAGAGCAATTGTTTATAACTTATTTAGTTTCACAATATTCTTGAAAAGTTGTTTCATGGATGGGAAAATGAGGCTGAGAGAGTGATTTGTCCAAGGCTGCACAGTAAGTCTGTGGCTAAACTTAGTTTGAACCCAGGGCCTCATGTACAAAACTGAAACCCAACGGGCTGCATCAGTTCATTCTGCCTAACTTTCACCACAGATTTAAGTACTACTGTTTATATAGATTTTAAAATTAATGTGTATGTGTGTTAAAAATACTCTATTGCATATAATAGCTCTGCTGATGTTAGAAACCCATTTTATTACACTTCCTTCGATATCTGAAAAGCTTATTTTAACAAAAGAAAAATACATCAAATGGTTAATCATATGCAACAGAGATTAAATGTAAAGGAACCAGTTACACAGCTCTACAACTACCTACAATTTACTGGGAGGATGCAGAACATGAAAAATGAATTAGCAAATTAGAAAACAGAGATATTATCTTCCATTCATGAAACTATAGATAGCATTACCTTCTGGTCAAACTCTCACTTTTGACACCATGTTCAGAAAGCACTGCTATTCTTTACATATATTAAAAGCATTTTGAATAATGGTGCTCCTATTTTCTCATCTGTTTTAATGAATACTACATATCAGATTTTATTTAAAGAGTACAAATAGGTTCCCCTAAAATACATTTTACAGTTCTTGCAAATTATCCCAAATTAGTTGCTACAGTTTCAGAATAATGGATGAAAATGAAAATCCATTTATTAAGTACTTTCTAAAATCTCCGACAGAACAAATGAATTATTTATTTCAAATAATGAAAGTCTTAAAATGTAGCATTTTAAACACTCATTAATAATTTAGGAAAATTGAGATTTTGGCTGTACTCTTAATACAATGGGTACATCCAAGATACAAAGCAATCTCTTTAATCATGCATTTCTAAAAAGTACAAAGGCTATTTTAATAACAAAGTATTTAGTGAACTAAGAGGGGGATGAGGTAGGGAGAAATCGACAAACTTAAATATATATTCCTACCGTTGCAATTGGTCCATCGACATGATAGTCTAAGCTGAAAACATCCCAACCTGTATCACCAGGAGACACCTTTAAAAAATAATACCAGCATTTAACCAAATTGTATAAACTGGTTTTTTTTTAGCTTTTTACAAAAGGATAAGTATAATCCAGCAATTAGCTCAACTGCTTGCTCAAATGCTACTTTACCCACCCACAGTGGTGAAAGCAAGACCCATGCACCCCTACTACCAGTGCAACTGGGAGACAACCACATTCATCAGCCCAATGGATAAAAAAGATCCTGTACATGGTTTCTGACTGTGGGAACTCTACACTCAGGTAAGCACAGAGGGTCACATATGAGCCTGAGAAAGTCACACCCTCTCTAAGTAGTCAGTTGAATAGTTTTTGCGAGGCACACCTGCATCCCTTGCACTCCAGCCTGGAGCAAGTCTCTAGTCTTGACAGCTCTAACACCAACGCTGCCTCCATACTCTTACTGCATGGAAGTCAGCTGTCCTTCTGGCAATATCTTTAGTTTGGTCTTGTGAGCTCCGCACTCTGTGAGTGGAGCCTCCTTATATGTGTTTGCACAAAAACAAGGTGGTGCTATGTCTGGACTTGCCCTTCCTTGAAAAGGCAGTTTCAGATTTTCACCTTGATCAGGATATGGCTTTTTCCCATCTCCATCAACACCAGCATAAACCACTGTCTGAATACTTGGTGGACGTTGGCTTCCTACAAGCCACATTTAGATGCTTCCTGCAACTTGCCTTGCCTGCTTCTTGGCTATGAGGGCCCTTGCAAAGGACTGCTGATGTTGCCTTGACATCTTTCCTCATGACTTGTGCAGATCATCACACTACCTTATCAGCCAGTGTATTTCCCACAGTCAGATCAGAACCTTTTCTACCAAGACTCCTTCTACTTGGGTGAACTTTGCTCAAGGAATGTCTTTGACTTCTAATATACCGCCACTTCCTAGAGGCTGTCAACTTTCATCAGATATTACAGGATGGATTTCTGCTAATGCATTCTTCGGTTGAGCCTTGCTTTCATCTGTTTTACTGCAGAGGCCCTCCTCTGGAAAGTCAGTTTCCTAGTTGTCTATTTGTGGCATGCACAGAGGCCTGTGCTTACCTGTCACTGTGGTTCTTCAAATGGTCATCTGTGCAGTCACACAACCCACCCACCATTCCCTTTGCAGTGCCTTCTCTTTTCACAGGCTTGGGTTTCCTTAGTTTCAAGGCTCTGTACAGCAGTTTCAAGAGAACAATAATAATAGGCAGGGATATACCCAGTGGATGAGCACAGTGGAACAGGTTCCCATCAAAATCCCTCAGCTTTAAAACGTTGTGGAATGCAACTATACAGAGACACAAGGGTCATCTGTGTGTTGCACAGAGACCACAAATAACAATCAAAAACAAAATTTGCAGTTAAGAAAATCTCTTTCCACATAGAAAGAATATATTATTTTCTGATGCTGGCCTCAGAGCTAAATTTCAGCTACTTTAAAAAAATTATAGACAAACACTCGTAAGACATTAAAATGTCTCAAAAAAAAAAATACCTCCAAAAGTCTGACATCCAAGCGTTTGAGGATCTCAGGATTATCAAACTGTGCATTAGTTGCCCTGACAGCTGTTTCAAGGATTCCTGTCAAATTATGCTGATATAAAGTGGTAGCTGGTCTTGCAAGCTCTGGTCTAAAATTAGAAGATAAATTTTAAAAAGAACAGATATACAATGTACATAATAGCCCAGTTGACATCCAACTGCAGGTACAATTGATTTATGCAATGTATTTTCATTCCTTACATGAATGAATACTTGAACCATTCTAGATTATGAACTAAGAAAAATGTTTCTGAAATTATAAATATTCAGGATGTAGATTTCCACATAAACCCAGAAATTCTGCTCTTTCATAGCCAGGAATCAAACTTCACAGCATGACACTACAATTTTATTTATTACATTTCTATACCACACTGTATCCCACAGAGCTCTCAGGTTATGTACAATTTAAAACACACACACAACACAATAAAAATTCAGCAATAAAATTAAAGTTACAAAAACCACTAAAAGCACTAAAACTCAACAATAAATAACCACAACAGTCCAAAAATTATCCCTGGGCACAGCAGCAATAATAACTAGTCTACAATTATTGTAATAAAATATTGATAGAATAATTTTCAAAATGTCTGGTAATTAAAAAGGTTTTTGCCTGGTGTCTTAAAAAAAAGGCAAAGAAGGCACCAGGTGTACCTCTCTGGGGAGCATGTTCCACAGATGGGGTACAACAACTGAGGAGGCCCCTCTCCTCTTTGCCACTCCTCTTACATCCTTAGGGGGCGATTCTTAGAGAAGGACCTCTCCAGGAGATCTTAATGGTTGGGGAAGAATACCCCATCCTTGACAACAACCCTTTTCTATAACACAGTCAATTTATACAGCTTCTTCAGGTACACAAGATGTGAGTTGGTAACCTCATGGTCAACAATAAATCCACTGTGAAAGGGATGGCTTCTTCACCAAGCTCTCAGGCCATGACTTAGTCAAACCAATGGTACTGCATTGCTGATGTCTATTCTGAGTAATATGATTTCAGACTGGAGGCAAAGGTTCTTTTGCTCACTTTCTGAAGACCTGGAATAATAAGCCTTGCTTTTGTGCATGTGTGTGCATGTGTATGCATGCACGTGTGTGAAAGCATTTCCTCTCCTTTGGCCAAAGCTGATATATATTCTTAACTGGTGTACTGGGGGGAAGGAAGAGTTGATGAAGGAAAGTATTCAAATCCAGATCAGGTACACTGTCTTTGTATCTGAGAACCCCTGTTTACACCAATGTCAAATTTTCCAGATTTTCTCAATCCTGAGCTCTAAATCATTTTTCAATTGAAAGCAAAACCTCTCCAGGCTTTAACATTTAGGTTTTTCAGTTTAAAGTCCTTCAAAAAAGACTGGGCAGTTATGCTTCTGAATTAGAAAATGGAAAGGTCTATGTTCAAATATTCTCAATAAACTTAAAATAGTCAATTAAAAATTCCATGTCAAAAGGTATTTCTTTCCACTAAAGCATTACTATTCCCTTCTTGACACACAAATGTTTTACTGATTCCATGTCTCATCATTATTCTACTGCATTTCAGTGCAAAGATGTTACATCAATTCAGTCCTTGGACAAACATATCCCTTTGATGTCTGGTAAGTAAATGGAATCTTTTGTAATGTAGAAAAAAATCAGCGCTATGGAAGAAAAAGGAACGTGACATGTAGGAAGCCTGCCATTATACTTCTGAAACCCCATCCTAAGGGAAAGCCCAAGATGCTTTTATACAATACTGGCAGCAAGGAAGGCATGGGCCATACAATATCCATAAGTTTAAAAGCTGTAGATCTAAAAGCACATTTAAGATGAATATTATTATTTGCATTTTTAAAATTTCCATGCCACCAAATAGCCAAAGCTTTCTCTACCAAAGACATTTTGATATATTAATCAAGAGGCAATTTTCACCTTGTTATCAAAATATTATTCAGTAGCAATAACTGCTGAATAATTCAAACCAAAATGAAATTTTATTTCTTTCTTAATATTCTAGTGCTGTTAGAAAAGCCTACAACCTATGTGGGACATAGTGATCTAAAAGTTAATGGTTAGCTTTTTGCTGTAATGCATGTGACCAACTTAAAGTCTGTTTAATTAATACCCATATGAAATGTCTATTCTTGTTGCAGAGCGGGACACACAGAAAAAGAGTTCCCCAAGGGAAGTCCTGAGCTCCTTCTTTTACTGATCCTAGCTAGCTGCCTTCTGTGCCAGGCACTTTGCCATACTCTTGACCATCCCTACAAACATAATTTATACTAATCCCTGAAAGAAGTCCAGTTTAGACATCCTTTGTTGTATGTATGTTTGAAAGGAGGTTACAATTGTGACAGCAGGTTCTCCCACCCTGACTGCACACACTGCTTGCATGTATGCACAGACTGATTGGTGTGACTGGAGCACTGTATCTCTGCACATACGTTTGACTGATGCAAAAAAAGTCAAGACTGCAGAAGATGTGGGATCTCCTGCCACATTCACAGCTACACATCCCACATACATACACAAACAGAATGTCTGCTATGCACAAATCATAACTATATCCCGAAGCCCACTCCTCTCCAGGTCCAGCATACTTAGTAGCCTGCATACTGAGGCCTTAAAGATGCAAGCTACTGTCTAAATATTAAAATGACAGGGACTTTTACTCCCACAGTCACAGTCTAAGATGCAATAGAAGGGGAAAGAAAAGGAATAGGAAGAATTAGTTAGGGGAAACCTGAGAAAAGAGCTCAATTAATGATCTTGTTTGTATGTAACAGCCTGCAGTTTGATGTTGTGTTGTGTTAACTTATTTAGCTGCTAAACAACCCAGCAGTCTGGGTTTGCACATCACACTGCACAGCCTATTGTGGGTTGTATGGTAAAGAAGAGACGGCATGATAGCCCATAGGCTTTTAAGCTGATGAGTTGATACACGCAAAAAAAAGGGGGAGGGGGCAATAACAGTCCTTTAAAAGTTTGACTGATGCTGCTAACAATGTCATGTGCTGAAGAATTCAAGTGATACCTTCCACCTATTCCCCATCTCTTCGTGCGCATGCATGTCTGCCCGTGTTTAAAAATTAATCTACAGAATCTCTAACCATTAAGTTTGTGATCATTAGAAATTGAAAGGATTTGGTAACAGATTATAGAATTAATAATGTGGTATGCATGTCTACACAGACATAAATACCACTGAATTTAACAGAATGTACGTCTCATTCAACAGAATGTACTTCTCCTGGAATTGTACTGTTAGATAAATATGTGTAGGAATGCAGCCTAAGTCCAGTTGGGTTTGAAGGCCTGATTTCCATGTAATTGCAACTTTGGGTTAATTAAGCCATGAGTTGTTAAAATCTTATAGAAGCAAGAAGGCATATTGGCTCTGGTATACTTATCACTTCCATGTTCAATTAACAACCAACAATTGCCTTGTGTGTAGGTTATTAGTGTAAAATCCAAACCTGAACATTCTACATTGTTTAAACCCTAAAAGACCCAGAATTAACCCAGCAACAGGTCAAGCATTAACTCTGTTTAACCCATAAACAACTCAGAGTGTCCACTTGTGGTTGAAGATTGTGAACTGAAAGTAGACATGCCAACATGCTCCTGCTAGATTGAAGCAATCTGAGGGTTGGTTAACTCATAACTGCCATTATATGGAAACTGAGGCAATGTGGCTTAAATTTGGGTAAACATGCACAGAACTGCACTGTTAATACCATATACAATATTCAAGAAACCTGGTACAATTTAAAGAAAGAATGGATTGGCTTTTCAACATTTGGCAGCTCCGTTCCTCCTAGATTCTGAAAGAACCAACAGTGACTTGGTTGGCATGATTCAGTGACTTACTGAAGAGATAATGAGTTGCAGCAAACACAGGTGCCATCTTGAATATTTCAGCTGCAGCTTGTCATCTTGTTTGAACCTAGGGACAATGGGTTATGCAAGGTTTAAAAAACCTGCAACAGAATCCACTGTATTTTAGAGATATACAAAGGTTGTTTAACCCTCACATAACCCATCATCCCTGTGCTGAGATGACATGACAAGCCAAGATTGCTATCTGAATATTCAAAATGACTGCCAGGATGCATCACAACCTAACTTAAATAAAGTTAAATTTAAAGTTAAGCTATTCAACCTAGCTTAAATAAAGCACAGTGGAATGTTTCATCATGCAAGCCAGCCTGGTATGAAAAAAAAAATTAAAGCCAAACAACCTAATATTGAATCTAAAGCCGTGCAACATAGTACTGAACATATAACAGAAGCATTAAAACTGTATTTTAATAGTAAATTGTTTTGTTGTACCACAGGTTTAGCTAAACAGTATTTTAGATTTCAGTTTTCTATCCCATAACAAGCATTTGAATTCAGCAATAATAACATCTATAATAACTTACTTTAGCAAATCCATTAAGTGCCTGATAAAATCTCCTTGACCGAGAAGTAAGTAGCGTCTCATAGCCTGCATGTGCTCCAGTAAATTGTACTTTTTATTAAGGACTTCTAGCAAGTATTTGCTTGTCTCAAAATAGGCAGCATCTATTTTTCCCTGAAATGCATTTTCCAAATCTGTGAACATTTCTGCAGCTGTTATAAGGGGGAAAAAGATTTTTACATTCTTTTTATATATTTTTTACCCCAAAGCAGCACATAATTAACAAACCTTACCACGCAACATACTACACATTTGATCTCTGTAAAATCAACTCAGTACTTTCAGGTATCCCATTATCACATGAGGGGGAGTGAAGCAGGATACTTATGCATTTAATGTGGGCTCATATCTATTTTTTCATAGCTAAACATCTTCTGTGTCCTTACATCAAATATCCTGACAAGAGAAAGGCTGCACTAACTAGTCTATATGCTTAAACTGCCTGAACAAGTATGTCTATAATAGATTTGAAACTGTCACACTATTGCACATGGCTATATGAAAAATCTGAAGAAATGATTAAGGCTGCAATCCTATGCATATTATCTTTCAAGTAAGACAGGAAGACTTACTTCCAAGTAACCATGCATAGGGTTGGGCTACATGCCAAGTTAAAGTAATATTTCAATCTAGTTATAGTTCCAGTGTTGAAAAGGAGAAGAATCCTGTAATGAATAACTAGAATGCTATGCTATACTGAAATCTATTCTGAGCATCTACTCTGTGGTTAAGCACAGAGTTAGTAAACATGTACTTTTACCTATTCAGAGATAATTCCTTCTTATTAGATGCCTGGGGCCAAAATTACTTAGCATGGGGTTCTTTGTTTAATGCAACATACTACAAAGAAACCACAAAGAAATGGACAAGATGTGAAGAGCAATACTACAGACCTTACTCAAAAGTGTGTGCCACTGTGCTCAACAGACCAGTCCATGTGTTCACAAGATGGCCACCCAAGAACATAATGATGATGAATCCTAAGCTATCCTTGTCCTTGTGGGGTGGGGGGAAACTTTACACTGTTTGAAGTGATCTTATTGCTCTAACTTTTAAGCTGAGGCAGCGAAGGTTTTAAAGTATCTTGTCAATTGAATATGCTGCTCCACCACACCTTAATGCAACATATAAGCCACTTTTTCAAAAACAGCAGATAAAGGACCCAATCCAACAACTGAGATTTATCTGTGCAACTGATCTCAGATATGTTCATTTGCCCTTTACACCAAGCAGTTCATGTTCCATTTAGGCACGTTTCCACAGGAGCACTCCAGATTTCTGCTTCTACACTAAACCAGGAATGCAAGAAACAGTTCCCACTTCATGACGGTACAACACCAGACAGGGGGTTGGCAGATAATTATCTATTTCCCCATAAGAACTATGGATTTTGTAAACTGCCCAGCGAGGTTTTGGGCTGATGGGAGAGGCAGAAATATAATAAATAATAAAAATAAGAACTATACATCCTGCACTTATCCACAATTCCCCAACAAGCTGTGAAAATAATACCAAGGGTAGCCTGCAAAGACATGTGCCAAATGCATGCAATTGAGATCCCTTTCCTCCCACAAAAACCTCATGCTATGACTTTGTACACCATTGTACAGTATCAGATAACGATACGTTGAAAAACCAACAAGGTCAGAAACAAAGCTATTGTGGTCCTAGTACAGTAAACTGGATCATTTCCGCACAGCTTAAGTAGATATTCTATTACATGGCACATCTACAATACATACTGTTCCAATAATCTTATTTTAATATAATACCATCTTTTGGAGATTCTGCAGATTTGGCCACAGCTATCATCTTGGATGATGGACTTTGGTCATGACAGACCTGATGCAAGAAGTTTATGGATTTTCCTATTAGAAGAACCTAAATATAAATGCAAAGTATTTTCAGAAGTTAAGTTCTAAAAGACTGTATAAGTAAAAACAGTATTTTTTAGAAAGTACACTCTGCTTACTAAATTAAAGCCTAGAAACCAACAAATAGTAATAAGCATACAACACTTGTTTTCAAGTGGTAGCTCTACTTTAATCATCATTTCCAAATCATATACAAATGAAGTGCCATGTACTCCAACTGAAGGCTTCAGACTAAATTATTTATTTGGAATATTTTGCTAGATCAAAGGAGTAGCAGTACTCACTGCCAGGCAGACACATCACACAATGGTGGTTGTTTTACCAAGATGGATGATTTGACCATTTCATCACATTTGGATGACTTGAACATTTGTCCTTTTAAAAGCACTATTTGTCTGAATCCTCTTTCACTGTATTCCTTCCCTTGGCCTATGTAGTAACACCCATACACAAGTGAGGTTTACATCAGACCAAAGTTTAAGCAACAGCAAGGGCCCCTCTCAACACTTGTTTGACATTCATGAATAGCTGCAAAGGTCTCTTTTAAAATAATCAGAACTTGAGCTACCACTTTTCTTCATACCTTTCTTGAGTGATCCATTGTAATAAATGAAGGAATCATCGATTTCCTCAATGTGTATTTGTCATGCCACAACCGATCTGTTTTTACAGTGGGATCTGAAGCTACAAAGAACTGCAGATAGAACAAACAATCTAAGTTTTAAGGAAGAATGAGTATTATGTATATACAATCATACATATTTTAAAATACATAAATATGCTATAAAAACGTTATGTACATCACACACATACACACTTGTATTCGAATCAGAGTGCTTCCTCCGCTGTGATAACTATCTTCTGACTGAGCAATTGACTGAACAAAAAAGGGAGCTCTTGGTGATAGTGGACAACTCAATGAAAATGCTGGCCTAGGGCATAGCCACTGTGAAAAAGGCAAGCTCCATGTGAGGCATAATTAGGAACATAATAGGAAAAAGAACTGCCAAAATCTTACTCTCCTTAGGCAAATCTTTGGTGCAACTGCACTTGGAATACTGTGTTCTGGTAACCCTTCCTGAAAAAAAATACATTATTGAGTTCGAAAGAGTACAAAGAAGGGCAAGGGGCTGGAGCAGCTCCCCTATGAGGAGCACATGCAGCAACTAGGACTGTTCGGCTTAGAAAAAAGGCAAGAAAGAGGGCACAGGATAGAGGTATTTAGATTGATGTGTGGCATGGAGAAAGTGGAGAGGGAGACATTTTTCTCCCTCTCCCATAACTCTCAAATCCAGGGTCATCTCATAAAGTTGATTGGTGGGATTTAGGACAGATAAAAGGAAGCACTTCTTTACACACTGTATACTTAGACTATGGAATTCACTGCCACAGGAAAAACTGGATAGGTTTTAAAAGGGGATTGGACAGATTCATGAAAGAGAAAGCTATCAGTGTCTACTAGCCTTGCTGGCTATGTACCACCTCCTTCAGCAGACATGGCATCTGGCTGAATACACCAGATGTTGAGGAGACTGGGCAGGAGGTCTTATACCCGTCCTGCTTGGGCAATTCTGTGGACAGCTGAATTGCCACCATGTGTACAGATTGCTTGACTTTGATCTGATCCAGCATGGCTTTCCTTATGTTCTTATATCTTTGGGCAGAATCCTAGAGGACTCAAGGCAGATAATGTAAAAACATGTCAACTATATATTAACTAAAAGCAAGGAAAAGTGAAAGCAACATGTGGATTATTTCAACTTTTACTATTGTACATTTAGTTCTTATTGCTGCAGCTAACATGGGGGACAGGAGGAAATAACCATGTAAACCTGCACTTTGTTGATACAGAACTTAACAACCACAAGCATTATAACCAAAAGTCAGACAATTATTACTTATATAGAGAAACGAAGCTTCCTAAAGCCAGTGTGGGCCAGTGTGACATAGTGGTTAAGAGCATGGGACTGGGACTCAGACGATCTGGGTTACAGTCCCTGCTCAGCCATGGAGCCAACTGGGTGACTTTGGGCCAGTCACAGACTCTCAGCCCAATACAGGGTTGTTGTGGGGATAAGATGGAGGAGGAGAATGATGTAAGCTGCCTTGAGCCCTTTGTAGGAAAAAGGCAGAATATAAATCGATAAATAAATAAATAAATAAATAAATAAAGCAATTAGAAATTGAATCAGCTGGAATTCAATACAAGTAACCAACATGCACATTAGATTCACTTAGGCTTTGTTTTAAAAAATCACCTGTTCATTCTAAGAAATACATGCAATGAAACTATACTGACAATTATGCATTTATGTATTTATTTAGATTTTTATATACCGCCCCATTCCCATAGGCTCTGGGCAGTTTACAAGAGAAAAAACCCAGCAATCATTAACATTTAACTAAAACAAGCATAAAACTGATCTGAGAACTAATCTGCAAAGGCCTGTCAGAAGAGATATGTCTTTAACTCCCTCCTGAAAGTAGAATCTGGGCTATCTGACACATCTCTCCGGGCAAGCCGTTCCGCAGTTTTGTGGCAACCACTGAGAAAGTCTTCCGGGGAGTTGACACTGCAGAAGCAAACTTCAGAAGATTATCTCCAGAGGATCTTATCTCCAGAGGAAATAAAATACTTGAGTGACAAATATCAAAAGAGCTGCATGGCAAGTACTTGAGCTTACAAATGGCAGCACAGCATTGTTATTACACTGCATTTAATTTGGTGTAGGTTCAAATATAGTTTGTGATAGGGCATGATCTGAATAGGTACACATCCATACTGGACCCTGGTTTTCTGAGCCATCACAGATACCTTAGAAACAACACATCTCCTGTGCCCCAATCATCTTTACCAATCTTTGGCCTCATTCCACTCTTCCCCTACAAGACTGGTCTTTGCCCTTCCTCATGGGTGCATAAACTCTTTCAAATTCACAAGGCTGCAATGACTGCCTCTTCAGTGCAACTCAGACTGGAACTAGATAGAACAATAAACAATGAGGCTGCTGCTGAACACTGCAACATGTCTAGTTCCCATCTGTCCCTTTGGTATTTAACATTGGTATGTAAGTTATCAGTGACCAGACATAATGCTGAGCATTTCTATCCCAATGCTCCCCATGACTGGCTGGCCCATCCATCACTGGAAAGCACACAACTTTGTGAGATCAGCACTTAGGCAAACCTCACTGCCCCAGAATGCTTATCACCACACCTAGTTTAGTCCATGATTCAATACTTGTTACATTCCTACCTCAGCCCCTTGCCTCATTGGACCTTCTCCTGTTACTTGCCCAAACTAGCCCTGTTACCTACCCTTCACTGTATGCTCATATGTGCTTGGAAATGGTTTTGGCTTAGCTTCCTGACTACACCACCATCTCATCTGTTAGGTAAGTTAACCTTGCTCCTGGATTTGAAAACATCCATCCTATCTGTCCTGTGGTCTGACCACCAGAGGGGCTGATCCTACAAAAACCTCCAAGAAGTAACAAAAATTTGGAGGGCAGGAGGATAAGTCCACTGGGAATGTGCAAATATTTGAGCATACCTGAAGTAGCCTCCATATTCTGGCAACTGTAGATATTATGTTTTTCCCTATATAAGAAACATCACCTAATATTTATCAAACCAGTATAAGTCCATCCTAAAATGTATTATTATAGCAAAATCATTGGAGCTTCTTTTTAAAAAGATCTCTGTGTAGCTGTTATAGTATGCTGTATTTCTGAAAAAAATAAACATTGGATAATATTAACTATATACAACAGGAGAAAAGCAGCTTGGTTCAAGTTGGAACACCTATACTTGACATGGGCTACTTCAAGGGATCTGGAGTCCCTCTGAATCCTCCCCACTGCTGCACTATGGGTGGTAGCAAGCACAGCAGAAGGCTAAAACATCTCAGCTAGGCCTGAAAACAAGCTACATGTGTGTTTATTTAGCCTATACTCAGTGGCAAACCACAAAGCTTTTCCAGCTCCATGAACTTCCATGGCATAACACTAGTGGCCACTCCGGGGGTAAGAGCAGAAGCCATATTCAGTTCACAGGCTATGAACTGCACACTCCTAATCCAGCGCACAATGGATTGGATTCAGAATTAGTAGACCCACTAAAGCAGTGACTAACCTAAGACTACAGTTTTAATAAACTCAGAATAAGTAAAGGCCCATAGCAAGTGAGAAAAGGAGTCCAAGATAGATGGGAATTTTTTAAAAAGGAAATTCTATAGGCACAATTAGACAATTCCAACAAGGAAAAGGGGTAAAAGACAACAGAAGCCCATGTGGTTTCAATAAAAACTTAAGAGATGATCTGAAACAAAAAACACATGTATAAGAAGTGGAAGGAAGGCCAGGCTACAGAGGAGGAATACAGGCAGATAGCATGGAATTGAAAGGATGGGCTCAGGAAAGCTAAAGCTAGGAATGAACTGAGGCTAGCAAGAATTCTAAGAGCAACAAAAAGTCTTTTTCAGATACTTCCAAAGTAACAAACAGAGGAAAGAAATGGGGCTTCAACTACTCACTGTGGATGGTAAATGGTCAAGGATCATCTAATTGGGTTGAATGAGTTCTCCAGGGCCTGGTGAACTCTATCCTACAGTCATGGTGGAACTGGTAGAAGAACTCTCAAAGCTACTGCCTATTATCTTTGAGAAATCATGGAAGAGAAGGTAAGTGGCAGATGACTGGAGGGGGCTAATGTCCCTGTCTTCAGGAGGAGGAAGAGGACCACCACCACCTGGAAACTACAGACCAGTCAGTCTGACATTAGTCCCTGAGAAAATTCTGGAGCAGATTATAAAGCAGCCAGTCTACAAACACCTTGAAGGCAATGCAGTGATTACTAGAAGGCAACACAGATTCCTTAAGAACAAATCCTGCCAGACTCATCTGATTTCAGATTGATTGATTGATTGGGTAACGTCCCTAATGGACTATGGGAATGCTGTGGACACAATCTATCTTGACTTCAGCAAAGTTTCTGACAAAATGCCCCATAAACTCCTAGTTAGCAAACTAGCAAAAAGTGGGCAACAAGGAACAATGATCAAGAGTGCTCATCAATGGCACCTTCTCAAAGTGGAGAAAGGTAACAAGTAGGGTACTGCAGGCTTCAGTCCTAGGCCCAGTGCTCTTCAACATTTTAATTAGTGACTTGGACGAGGAAGTGGAGGGAACAGTGATCAAATCTGCAGAAGATACAAAACTAGGTGGAATAGCTAATACCCTGGAAGACAGAAGGAAGATTCAAGGTGATCTTGATAGGTTATAGCTCTGGGCTGAAAACAACAGAGTGAAATTCAACAGGGACAAATGGTAAGTTCTGTACCTTAAAAAAAGAAACCAAATGCATCATTACAAGATGGGGAATACTTGGCTCAACAATACTGCAAGTGAGAAGGATGTTGAAATTGCTGTAGATCAAAAGCTGAATGTGAGTCAACAATCTGATGAGGCTGCAAAAAGGGCAAATGCTATTTTAGGGTGCATTAACAGAAATATCACTTCCAAATTCTGTGAAGTACTAGTTCTCATTTATTCAGCACTGGCTGGACCTCATCTGGAGTACTGCATCCAGTTCTGGGCACTACAGTTTAACAAAGATAAAGACAAGTTGGAAAGGGTTCAGAAGAGGGCAATAAGGATGTTCCAGGGACTGGAAGCAAAGCCCTATGAAGGAAGATCGAAAGAACTGGGCATGTTTAGCCTTAAGAAGACTGAGCGGAGATACAAGAGCACTCTACAAGTACTTGAAAGGCTGTCACAAAAAGCAAGGACAAGATCTCTTCTCCTTCTTCCCAGAGTTCAGGACACAGAATAATGTGCTCAAGTTACAGTAAGCTAGATTCTGGCTAGAAATCAGGAAGAAATTCCTGACTGTTAGCGTAGTATGTCAATAAAACCAATTACCTAGCAAGGTTGTGGGCTCTCCCACACTAGAGGCATTCAAGATGCAAATGGACAGCCATCTGAGAAGGATGTTTTAACTTGGACTCCTGCACTGAGTAGAGTGTTGGACCCAATGGCCCTCTGGCCATTCCCAACTCTACTATTCTGTGAATCTATGATGTGTCCAAGTTTAGAAGCCTTGTTTTTAATATTCAGCCACTCTACCCAAAATCCTGAGTCTGTGTAGCATACCCAGAGGTTCTGCAAAAGAGGTGAGGGGGAGGACTGTCTGCAAAGGTCCTAAAAATTAGGTATCATGTTTTTAGAACATTACAGCTTCACTAGCATACAATATTACCTTATGAATGTATGTTTTTTAAAGAAAAATTATCCAGAAAAGTAGATAAAAATATACATATTTTTTTTTAAAAAAACAGTTTCTGAAGTTTATTACAGCAATTCCCCTCCCTTGGTAACTGGCATAGTGCCATAATTGGAGCATTAATGAGAAAAATATAATTTTAAAATCCATCAGACAATTCAATCATCTTCGGGAGTTATAAAAGCCCTCATTTTATAACCCAGGGCAAAGTAACATGCAATTAATGTATTTAGAAAACATGTAGTAAAAATACAAAGAGCAAGAAGAGAATTTTATAATTAATCCTTTCAAAAAGAGATCTTGGGAAAGGTGAAGGAAACCAAGGTCAGAACATAATTGCAATATAATTATTTTATTGATTCATTTTACCCATTCAAGGTTCTTTGAGTTTTGTTATTTTATCAAGCACAGAAAGAACTACGGGAGAAATGGGAAATCATGGTACAATCTAACTGATGAACAAATGCCAAGGCCTTCCAAGCGCCAGATAAAAAGGGTGATTTTCTTAGGAAGAAATTAAGAGCTTGTTTACAAAGGCAATCAGTGTCCCAGAGGATAACTGCTATAATATGAAGAGGGAAACCCACATTTTCATTTGCCCCTGTGTAATTAACCCCCCTTCCCCTCCCCCAGAAGCACTATATGACAAGCTTATTGTAGGGTCATTTCACTGAAATATATTCACTATAGTTAAGTGTTCTTGGGGTTTTCACCTGATGGGATTTATACATCTCATGGAAGTTTATTTCACTAATAAAAGTTCCAAAGAAGTTTAAAAAGAAATAACTGATCTCAAACACACAGAAAGCAGCATAAAACAATATGGCCACCTAAAAGTCACTACCCTTCAGACTGGCATGGATATAAGCTATACCTCAAACCTATATCCAGTTTTCATGGAATACATCCAAAAAATTGGCCCCAGAGTATTCCATTGATGTAACATAATGATTTACAACACTGTACTATTCACCTGGTGATTCCTATCCGGAATGCTTATTTGTTGCTTTAGCGACATTTTAAGATCAGGATGTTAAGAAATGCTGAAATATTTAAAAATTAAATAAAACAAGTTCTAACTCTGGTGTACTATCAGGCATGCTAACCTGCTGTTTGAAAACACAAAGAACTGGGCACACAAAACTAGTCGCATGGCTCTCTGGATTCTGGCCATTGCTTATAAATAAAAGCTGAGTATCAGTTCTCCATATGCAAATCTGCTTTCAGGATATATGCCAAATTTTTACTCCTAGTTCTTCTTAATTGTACATTTTCAATAGTACAGATACAGTATACAGTTTTAACTTAGGAAAAATGGCTTTAGTTTCACAGAAACTGGAAAAAAGGACCTCATCATATTAGTAAACCATGTGTACAACTTACTTCATGGTAGGTGTCCTCTAGTTCCCCATCATAAATCCAGCGATAAAGGAAATTCAAGACAGGATGTGATACAAGACCAAGAATATGCTGCACTAGGGATCTCATGTAAGGGTCCCCAGTTTTGCTGTAGGCATGAACAGCAGATGCAAGCTCACCACCTTTTCTTCCTGAAGAAAGAGAGCACACAAAGAAGAATTTCAATGCACATTCTCTCACACCTGCCTGGAAAATTAGTGCTACATCTGTGGATTTGCTGTACACAATGCTTAATTCCAAAGCAGTTTATCTTACAAGCTGGGCTCTCTACCTCATAGTACAGCAGAGAAAGGCAAGAGTGAACTTCAGTTCAGTATTGTCTGCCTATGGCCATCTGCAGAGACAACTGTGAGAGGAAGCCCTAAACAGGCAAATATGGCTGCTTCCCATGTAAGCCTTCATAAACAAACAGTCGGAATTTGATGGTTAAAGGCTCGCGAGAAAAGGGCAAGAAACATGCAATTCCACCACCCATTCTCCTCTTCAACCATGATTAATCCAACCAAGAACACTGCATGTGCAGTCACCTAGCATCTGTCTTTACAGCTGTAACCAAAACCAAAATTGCTTACTTGTCAATCAGCACTATCAATAAATGGTTGTACTTCAGCAATATATAATCCCTGGAAATATATCTGTGTACTGATGTTCTTAGAAAACTCCAACTCTCCATGTTTTTCCAAGAGCTTTCAACAGTTTACTGTTTGACAAATCATCTTTCAAATAGGAACTTAACATTCACTTTCCCTCAATATACAGTTCTAAATATTCTGCTGACAGACCTTGACAGTGATCAACAAGTGCAGCAAGCGTCTTCAATCTTATCTTAGGATCATACGTCCAGACTAAGAGCCGGCGAAGTGTTAAACTGCTCTCAATTCCCAAATTCACACCTTGATCATCTTCTACTTGCAACTAAGGTGACAGAGAGATGAAAAAGAAGATTTACATGTTCAAGTTACACATGTTTACTCAGGAATCAGTCCAATTCAGCTCAATAAGTCCTCCTCTCAGGTAAGTAGCTCCATGATTGCAAGTGCAGACAAGTACAGATCCCACCATACTTTCCTCTAATTAGAACTTTCCTTTCTTTTCTCAAATGTTTCCTGTGCCCGATATGTTTTTACATTAAAAATGCTTAGGGTGAAAAGTCAGAGAAATCTTAGTACTAGCAATCATGAAAGCATATAATGAAAAGGAAGAGAAATGGAAAGACCTGTATTTTTTTAAAGCAAGTCTACAAGAAGTGGTGCATGACAGAGAAAAAGAATTCTGAAATTAGCATCTCTTGTAAACATTCACCATAAAATAGTTTTAACAGTATTTTATGAAAGCAATACAATTTCAACTCATTCTATACACATTTCTTGTTAGCTAGATACTAGAGAAGTACTATCAAGTGCATATGCCCATAAGTCCACAAAGCATACATGCCCACACATATTTTACTAACTCATCCACCCATTAGTAAAAGTGTAAGTAACCTGTGGTGGGTGTACAACTTGAAAAGAAAAGGGGGCAGGGAACTGAGGTTATATCAATTAGCTCATCACAGATAAATGACTATTTGCAAGCCTGTAACTGATATAAATGGCTTTTAAAAGTTTTTTTAAAACATTGGTTGACTCAAACAAAAGACAGAAATATTTATTTACCTGTGAGTGTAAAACAGATAATAACCTGTAGTATTCTTTGAGTTCTTGGTTTAAGGCAGCACAAAAACTCTGTTAGACAGAAACAAAAGGTGTCAATACGGATCCTATGCACCAGCCAGATTCTAGAGAACACTGAAGAGTTTGCTTGTCTACAACATGGCAACTGACTTTGACTGGGTTCAGATGGCACCACAAACCATCCTGGGTAACCAGACAAGATGGCTGCAGTGGCATCCAAATCCAGACTGCTTTCTGCAAGGTGACTTGCTCCACGGGTTGCTGAACCTAAGGTGAGTTACAACCAGCTCCTTTGTGGACACAAGAAGGGAATGGGCAAGCCACTCAGTAAGAATGGCAACCCCCCCTTACCACTCCTGCCCAGACTATTGCCACTGAGAGCCACTCCAGTAGTTTTAAATGACTGTCACTGGTTCACTCTTTCCACCCTGCTCATGATTCATTTATGGGTACCACCACAGTTTCTCTTTCCTTTTTTCTTTTCGTTAGCACTGATAGCAATGGCCACTGACAACTGGCACACTGGAGCGACATTATTGGTTTACCCCCTTTTTATTATTATTTAGGTGCTAAAAATGTGTGCAATTTTTTTCATAATTTTTATGTGTAGGGAAATTAATTCAGAGATGCACCTCCAATTAACCAAATTATTATGTTCCCTGCTTAATGTCATTACAGTCAGTGTCTGTGGATGTTGACCAAACAAAGCTGCAAACGGCAGTCAAGTAAAAAGCAAAGCCATGAGAGGATCTTGACAAGTATATCACTCCCTTTGACAAGGGAGTTGTCAAAGTTGACAATATATCACTCCCTTTGCAGAGAGATCCTCTAGTTGTGAAATGAGGAGAAGACAGTTCTCGGTGTTCTCTACCACTCCATAGTTTCCAAAGATTCTAGATGCTCCAGAAAGAGGAAAAGTCATCCCATCCATTTAAAGGAGTATGACATTTTCATAGCTGCCAAAATAAGGATTTCTTTTAAACAGGGTTTTTCAGAGGGTTATATCGGGATTTTTTTGGCAGGAAAACATATAGATTTCATGAATGCATATTTCTTGCCATGACATTTGCTACTAAGGGATACCCATGATCACTCACTACAAATAATTTCAGAACTATACAAATAGGAAGTAGCCCACATGTGTGTATGCACTCATGCAGATGTGTGTGCATGCTTATTATGGGATTTCTAAAATGAACCAAATAAGAAATGACTACAAAGTCAATGAAACAAATAAGCTTAATAAGAAAGCTCTCACAAGCAGGCATACTGAACTGAAGCAAAAGCTTTATTTTCATTAAAATCTCAAACGCAGACTTCATTTTGGCAGTTGCATTAAAAGGACATAACAGTCAAACTATGAGAAAACCTAGCAACCTAAATTTTCTGATCTAAATCTAAGGCCAAGCCATGATCTTTAGAAGAGCAGGGAGGAGGAAATAGTTCATGTATTGCAAAGATATGGAAACAAAGTGCAGAAATTGTTCTCCTTGACATTTCTCTTTTCCTCATCTCTGCTGTATTGTTGCAAAATCCAGCAGCAAGTCCCACTTCACACGTTACCATAGAAGCAAAGGAAAGTTGCAGTACAAATCACTCATGTTTCTCATTTCTACATTCCTTGGTAACATATCAACCAACATCAGTGTATTGCATTCAGCATCATCCAAAACACCTGCCATCTACAACAACAGCAAAGGAAGCAGGACTCAAGGTGAACATTTAATTGAGTAACAAAAAGAATTTTAAAAGTCTAGGATGCAATCAACTCCTTTTGAAGATCAGTGTTACACAAATATATACAATGGTACACTCAAAACTGATTGTTTTCGGAGAGGTGACAATACATCTAAGTGTTATTTAGTTATAGGATCATTTGCCATTAATAACTTTTGAAAAAGCAGATGTACCGAGAGCTGAATGCATCAAGCACGCTTCTGTGCCTCTGCCTAACAGCCACATAATGAGCATGAATATCTGAAGAGACCTATATGTGTAGAAGGATGCAGGTTCTCCTTCTTCAGACAACTCTGCTCAATGTGCAGACACCAAGGAAGGGGGACAATGTTGGAGGACAAACCCATGGCACATGTAAGAAGTGAAGGATGCCTTAGAAAAACAGCAATACTGACAGCCTCAAGGACAATAAGGGAAAGTAATGTAATACCGTCCTATGCATTGCATAAACACTTAAAGCTCTGAACACATGGTAATGTTAATTAAATATCTGAACACATGTTAATCATAATACTGTCAATCAATTTTCTTTACATTTTAAAAACTGACTACTTACTACTTTTAAAGCCGATAGGGTGTTCACAATTATCAGGTGAACGAGAAATGACTCGGCAGAGCTTACTAGACTCCTTGCCTGATAGTTTCTAGATGTATAAACAGATTTCCTATCCTATACACACAGACACATGCAACACACAAATAATACAAAATCATATATTTTATTATACATTGTTTAAATGCACTGTGAGTTGAACTGCTTTATCCGTTGCCATGTAGTGTGTTGTGAGTCACCCAGAGAGCTTTGTGACTACAGGGTGTGGCACAGAAGCCCAACAAACTCACAAATGATATAACACATCTAACAGAAAAGGAAATAATGAAGACCTCTGTTTTGCTCACATACCTGGCCCACTAGTCCAAAGGCACGATCCATACTCCTCTGATCAGTATACTTTCTTATTTTATTGTGCAGCCATCCTAACTCAGCAAGCCTGCTTGTAGTATCTCGGAGAGACTTGGAAATGCTCACCTAAAATATTAAGAAACACATGCTGAATAAATTGTAGTTCATGCACTGAAAAATATAGCAGGTGAATAAGTGAACCAGGCTATAGATCAATTTTCCCCCTTTGATCTGACAAAATGTTGTTCATGTCCTCTATAGTTTTAGAGAAAAGATGTTCTCCTAAGCAATAATTAATAATGGTAGGGCAGATGGAGAGGATACTTTTTTGCCCCACAGATGTATAATAAATAAAGGGATCTTATGTCAGACGCTCCCATATACAGTATACATCTTGTATGTCAATACCAGAATTGATTTTCCACCTCTTTCCTGCACTACTACGTGTGACAATGTCAGATATTGCAGGTCCTTGAGGTTTTTGCAGCTTTACACAATCCCCATGTGCCTCCAATAACAGCATTTACAAGGCTGGATACAAGGCCAGAACATTATCAACTATTGCTTACCAGCCTCTTAGAAAGCAAGTGAAAAGGAGGACATATCGCTGCATCCCTCCTCTGCAGCCTACTTGGTTTCCATGCCAGCTATGAAGAAAATGAAACTCCTTTCTCCCCATTGCTTCCAAGGGAATTTAGTAAGCTGGCAAAGAAGAAAGGGGCCAATTCCGCTTGCTTGATTTCTGTGCTGGCTGCACAGCAAGTGAAGGGCTGTTCTCCGTGGCCAGCATGGCAATGCAGTGGGCTGCTGGAAGTACGATGGAGCAAGTATTCCTCCTCCGTAACCCCATTTTATTTCTAGGCCGGCTGGGACATGGGGAGGGCAATCCACAGCCTATTCAGAGAAATCAAATGGGCTTGTAGGCAAGGGGATCATGATCTCTCGCCTCTGCCAGCATGCTTGGTAGAAGGGTTTTGTCTGCTCGCTCTCTTGCCTCAATGGACTTCCATGCACTGACTTGCATGGAATTTCTTTGTCGCCCCTGCAAACTGTATTCTTTGCTCGCTTTCTTCTTGCCACTGCCAGGAAGCAACTTTTCATGAGTAGGAGAGTGTTTCAGCCCTGCCTCCCCTAATCTGCCTTTGTAGAAGCACTTCTGTTACTGATTCTTTGATTCTGGCTTAAAACTATTCTGCAGGAAGCAGCCTTCCGCTACCTGACTAGGTCTGCAACTCATATTGCCCCTTGTGAAAGGAATGCCTCCCACAAATAATCGTAACTACACTCTTGCCATTGCTTCAACTAATGTTGCCTATACACTACTGCTGGCTGGATAGAGGATGTTTGTGTATTTCTGCTTTTTCTAAGTGTACCTCACTCTTCTGGGATGTTTCTGGCAGTTTGCATCATTTTAAAAAAATGGCCTAGGACCAGGCTGGTTTCCTGAATAATTACATGCACCCATACATATCTAACTAGCAGTTGGAATATACCACTAGAGGCCTTTCTCCAAGTATCTTTTTGTCTGATGCAATTTGGTACTTAACTACTAGAGCAAAGTCCTTTTCTTTGGTTGTGGACCAAATGGGAAACTTCCGTCCAAAGAAGATTTACCTGGCATGTTTTTGCTATATTTCAGACACTGAGCAAAGTCTGCTCACTTGGGCTTTCAGTAGATATTGTGACTTAGTCTACCATGGTGGGGCAAGTTGCCGGAAGGACAGAAAAATGCTGCTCATACCATGTTTTTGATATGACTTTTGAAGGTGCACTTCTGATCTGTACTTTTTATGATTGTTCTATTGTTAATGATCTTGGAAGCCAACAGAGACATAAAGGTGGCATTAAACGATAATGAAGAAGAATGCTGCTGCTAATAGTAACAACAATCATCTAATTATATTGAGCTACACAAAACAATACCTTTCCATCTACTTTGTAACAGTTTTCTGAATTGAACATTTTAATGATTTTGCCATCTATCCCCTGAAAGACATATAAAATGTCTCTCACAAGATGTGCCTCGGTTACTTCAACAGAGCCTAAAAAGAGAAAAATATATATATTAATGCACTTGCAGGATATTTGAGAGTAAATTTTGTCATTTTACTGCCCTGAAACCAGGCATGTTTAGACTACAAACCTATACACATTTACTGGAAGTAACTGTATTGAAGGCAATAGGTCTTACTTCTGAAAGGATATTTATTCTGAGTGGATATTACACTCTTACTTATGAGCACACCCCAGTGGGTTCAATGAAGTTTATTCAAAGGTAAGTGTTGACATAGTTGCACAACTAATAGTAAATTATTTTACTATTAAATCTAAAAACAGTCAATAATTTCAAGAAAATATCTCAATTCTCAAATATTTATTTCTACCTGTAAGAAAATAACTACCACATTTATGTAATAAACCTATCAACCTTATATACCAGGAGCAAGGAAATGTAGGTCAAAAGATCTAGAGGGCCACACAGTTCCCATCAGGCCTAGCAAAGTATAGCCAATGGAGGAAAATGGAACTGGAGTTCAAAGCACCTGGAGGGCCACAAGTTGCCCATCCAGACCTTATAGTTTTGGGATACTTTTAAACCACATGCAGCTGGTTGAGTACGACTGCAGGTTCCTCAGAGCTCGGATGCTTCATATTTGAAATTACCCCCGGAGCACCACCAATTGCCTCAAGAAAAATTATTTGGGGGTTCATGGCATGGGGGGGTACTGTTCAAAAAGTGATTCATAGCAGTTAGGGACCTTTACAGCAGAATTCTCAAGAAATGGTAATCTGTCATTGTATTTTGCAGGCAATCCTCTAGCTCCGCACCGTAGCAGACCTACTCAGGCATGATGCACAGTTTCCATGCATATCAGAAAATGCACACTCCTTAACTGACTTCTTGTTTTACTCTTCTTATAATAGATGTTTTTTCTGCCTTGACTGTCAACTAAAAATGCCTCTGTAGTTTAAAAATTGTGGCTTGCATTCTAAGTGAAGAATTTGCAAACTGAAAATTTCCTCCATTCGCCTTCCTCTAGGTACCTCGATAAAGCTCGCCAAAGTGTGCCTCAGTGCCATCCTGCACAGTGGGAGATGGGGGAGGCAACTGAGGAATGTTAGATGGACCTCTGCCCAATTTCGACTCATTCCCCACCCATACCTCATCCCACTTTGCTCTGGAGAGCACTCTGGATTTTCAGGGGATGCAGGGGCACAAGAGGATGGGAAACTTTCCTTCTGTGAATTTCTTAAATAAAGTTACCTTAGGAACCAAGTCTATTACTTTAAGCATTATGCGCCTTGTCAATAGGGCTAACTATAAGAATATTAGAACTTAAACATGCTTGTTTTTCTGCAAGAAATTTTCACTCCAAGTGGTTCACAGTGCACAGAATGACAAAGAGAGTTAAAAGAGAGCTTAGATTTGTCACCTTATTCAGTGACACTTCCTTATATGTGTTACATTGATGCAGAAAAAAATAAATGAAAAAGAGAAAAGGCCAAGGCAATAGACAGCCAGACCCCCTTTCCATAAAGGCAGAAGGTCACTGCTCCAAATTTGCTTACACATGAGTTCCACTGAGCTAAGAGTTTCAGGCTTAGAACTGTAAGGATGGGAAATGCAACCTCTGTGCTCAGTCACACAGAGATTCCTCACTTTGAGGAAGCCTTGGCCTGTGAGGGGCTACTGCTCCACAGAAAGTCAACAAAGGGCCATGGCTGATGGCATGCAGAACCAGAGCCAAAAACACTTGCAGGTTCTGCACAGCTCTCACATGCTGACAGCCAACATGACTTTAGCCTGAGAAACACGGGCAGCCTCAGGTACCCCACTTCAGTTTTAGGCCAGGGCAATGTTCAGCTAATCTCGCTCCTTTTTGGTTAAACATTTTATAAATGTTGGTTTCATAGCCCAGCTTAACTTATTGGAATAAGTCTTGCTGACTTTATGGAACTTCAAAGTTACTTTGCATGTGGTTAAGCTTGGGAAACCTCAATTACATCAACTGAGATGGCAACTGAGAAATCAGCATCTAATGGTTTTCTTAGAAGGTCACAATATGATAGCACACACAGATATAATTTTCAGTGCTATTTTAGCTTTCTGTGATACAGGAGTTGAGATGTATGGATTTTGTTAAATCTGTTCTATCTGCGTTTTATGGATTGTCAGGAGTTTTTTGTTCTCTTGTCTCTCATTGATGGAAGCAGTTTTTTAAACCAGAATTTCATTCTAGTTCCACTAATTCAAATTAGCTCTGTGCATTTAGTTAGTTTTCCCCAAAAGTGAAAAATCAATTTGCAGTTCCATAGAATCAATATGACTCAGAATAAGCTGGCTATCTGCAAAATCCACAGGCAGGATTCAGAATAATCTGCATTCATTTGAATCTGTTGTAGATTTCCCCAACATCCTTATCTAAAACAAATAATAAATTGTAGAGCCTGTATACAAAATGTTCAGACTTTGTTCCAAATACCACATAAACAACCATATAAACAGTATGAGATAAATTTAATATACTGGCTTTGTAATGACTACAAAAATATACATTTTTTTACACAGACTCTCTAAAGTGTTTCTGTTATCTTGAGCTGCAAATTCTTAAATAATTCTGGATTATCACAGGAATTTTTAATTCTATCCCCAATTTCCAGTTTGTGGATTTAAGAATCAAAGAACATCAGATATTTGTATTTTTTCCAACAGTCTCCAAAACATTCAATATTTATAAAATGCACAAAATCCATCTGCTTTTTTATAAACAGCCTTTAATTTGGAATAAGAATTCCAAATTAGTAGCAGTTACATAACATAATGGCAGAATGCCTTCTGTTACATCTGCTAGAATGAATGTTTTTTTTACTGGCACAGCATAAACACAATAAATTAAGAAATGAAGATAGCTTTTTCTGTATTTGTAAAGGACTGCTGTCCACATTTTTATCCACATCAAATGTATCTGAGACAACGTAACATCACCTGGGTCTTAGCAGTGATTATGCCTAAAAATAGAGGGATTCCATTGACTGTCAAACTATAGGTTTAACAGAGGAAAAGGCAGGCAACAAATGTTTTATGTAAGAAAGTTTGCCCTGAAAGTTATTGAGAAAACAAAATATTCTACAAGAATATTCTCTAGCCAATTTTATGAGACTAATTTGCCTCCTAAATGAAAAATCTATCAATGATTTGGTTAATGGAATAATGTGCTATGATTTCAATGATCTTGTACTAGGGACTTTCAACAATCAGTCCATACACAAGCACTCCCACTTGCGCACTAGCAAACAACAAACCCATACTCACAGCATGCATCATCTCTGCAACATTAAAGCTTCCCTCCCTGCATGTAGAGATTATGGCTCCTTCCTCTCCCCACCTCACTCATCTGCTAAGTGGAGCAAAAAGTTTGTGAACAAAATAATACTCCTGACAACCAAGAAGAGTTACTGTGCTGGAGAAGAGGGAGCACATCTCGACAGCCTACCAAGCAGGTGCTTGGCAGGTTGTCAGGAGCACCCGTGTGCCAGGGAAAAACTGCACAGCTGTCAAGTTGTACGCCAACGTAAACAAAAATGATATTGCCAACAAAGGTGAGATGAAACAAATAGAGAGTGATGCATTAAAAAAATCTATACACACATTCACATGAATTGAAAGCTTTGGCAAGGTGTCCTGTTCCATTCCACCAACTCCCCCCTCACCCAACACACACACACAGAGCAGGGTATCAAACACACTGATTCTAGTTGTCCAAGAATCCTGTTAGAGCACAGGGAAAAAAATCATAATCACAGCATCAGGACAGACTTCGGGGCTGGGGGGCAGGGGGCAAAGGGCAAGGCCTGTCATAGTTTATATGAATTCCCCTCCTCTCTCCCCCTCCCCACACCCCTTCCCAGGCAGCCTGTCCATCCAATTTGTGGGCTGGAATATTTGCATCTTGTTTTGAGCCAGTAGGAGAGGTTGGGAATTCTGCAGGACCTGTTAGCCTCCCTAGCAGAGGTAGTCTCAGATGTGATGTTGGGGTTACCCAGATTGTTGATTAGGGAGCATGTCAACATACATGCCACAGGCAACTTGTCTGGAGTGGTTCAGGACTTCATGGCCTCCATGGTGCCTATGGGGACTGTCCTAAGATATTATCAACCAAGCTATTATCAACCCATGTGGCAGACTTGCTTTTTTCAGCTGGACATGAAAATGGAGTTCTAAAGGTGGGCAACATCAATTGATCATGATCTGTCATGATCCTTTGTCATGAACTGGTCACTGCCTGCTGCAATTCTGAATGATGTTGGCTTTCTGACTCTACAAGGGTGGGAGCCCTATTATGATGGTCCACCCCAGAGATAAAGCAGCCAGAGTGAGTTTGTGACTGATATGGCTGGCACTCCTGTAAAGCCCTGTCAAGCTGTAGAACACAGAGAAGAACACTATTACTCTTAAGAGCACTCTCTGTAGCAGAGTTCATATGCCTCTATGGTATACCCCAGAGCTGAGAACAATGAAATAAAATGGGAGATGACTTCACTGCAGATGAAGAAAAACTCTCAGGGGATACAATCAAGTCCTGAGAGGTGCCTATAATCAGGTGTACATAGGTGCAGCAAGGGTGGCAAAGAGAGAACACCTCATTGCCTCTATTCTATCTTCTACTTATCACCCAGTGGTGCTTTTCCAGGTCAGCTGGAATCTACTATAAGCTGACCTGAAGGGCACTATAGACCCATCCAAGGCCTGCTATAACATACTTGCCAGGCACTTCCAGGATAAAATCTCTTACCAGGACAGATTCTACTGTTACAGTAGAATCTGATAAGAATCTGGTTCAATAACACTCAAAAAGGAGGAAACGAGACCACTGAAGAAATCCTCACTGGTCCCAGAAAATCTTAATAACTTTAGACTGGTAGGAAATGCTCCTTTCCTGGGCAGCCTTCTCAAGCAGGTAGTGGCCAACCAGACCCAGGTATTCATGGATGAGATCCATTACCTGGGTTCATTTAGTCAAGATTCAGGCCAGGTTTTCTCATGGAGACTGATCTGATTCCCCTGTATGATATCCTCTGCCAGGAGAGAAATGGGGAAGTGTCACCCCACTGATACTTCCGGAGTTCCTGACACCTTTCAGTATCATCAACCATAGTATCCTTTTGGGGTAACTGTCTGAGTTGGGTGCTATGTTGCAGTGGTTCCACACCTACTTGCAGGATCAACTTTAGAAGGTGGCACTTAAGAAATATGTTTGGACCCTCAAAAAATGTGTTCTTCAAGGGTTGATTCTGTCTCCCATGCTTGTGCAAAACTAAGCAGTCAAACTAATAATCAGGACCAGTAGATCAGAACATATAAGATCAGTACTTGCCCCCATAAGTTTTGCTTTGCGATGATACAATCAACGAGTTTCCTACTGGTCTTTCAAGTTGTTGTTGTTATTGTTATGTTTGTTTGTTTCTATATTATCCAACAGGTGAATTGCCCTGAATAGCTTACAGTGGTTCATAAAGCACAGTATAATGTCATAAACATTTCCAAAATACAAATATTTAAAAACAATTTTAAAACCATTTAAAAAGTAATGCAAAGTAAAGTTAAAGGTAAAGGTTTCCCCTTGACATTAAGTCCAGTCATCCCTGACTCTAGGGGGAGGTGCTCATCTCCATTTCCTAGCCGAGGGAGCCAGCGTTTGTCCACAGACAGTCTCCGTGGTCATGTGGCTGGCATGACTAAACACCGAAGTGCACGGAACGCTGTTACCTGCCCACCAAAGTGGTACCTTTTCATCTACTTGCATTTGCATGCTTTCGAACTGCAAGGTTGGCAGGAGCTGGGACGGAGCAACGGGAACTCACCCCGTTGTGCAGATTCGAACCAGCGACCTTTCGATCTATCAGCCCAGCAGCACAGCAGTTTAAACCACTGTGCCACCTGCAGTCGTAGACTTGTCATTAAATATCCCTGAATGTCTTTACATGCCTTGCTATAGAAGGCCATCTTAACCAGGCACTGAAAGGATGACAAAGGTGGTCCCAGGGTGTCTTAGTGGTGAGATCATTCCACAGTGGAGGGGTTGCCACTGAGAAGGCTGTCCCACTTTCTGCTGACTTCTGAAGTTTTGTGAAATTGGCACTCAGAGGAAGACCACAGATGTTGATTGCAGTGTCTGGACAGATACAGCCAGGGGAGGGGCTCCATCATATACTGCATTCCTAAGTTGTGTAAGGTTTTGTAGGATAAATCAATAACTTGAAGAGGGCATGGAAGCATACAGGAAGCCAATGCAAGTGGGCCAGAACCATCCATTCATTGTGATGAATATAAGAGATTTCTTTAACACTGGAAGAGGTCTCTAAGAGAAAAATACAAAGAGTAACTCACCCTTTCGTAGCTATTCTTGGGAGTAGTGTTTGTGTGTGAGGGATGTGTGAGGCATCTTTCTGGGGGCAGGAATCCATCAGATTCCCTGGGCTTGGCTCCCCAGACTGCAGTCCATTTTGCAGCAGCCCTGAGTTTAAGTTCCTGGCAAGCATACCCAGCATTCCTGATGCTCACCTGGAATTGAGCCCCACGGGCTGCGCAAGCCGTGTCCCTCTTCTGTGACAGGTGCAGAAGGCTCTGTGCTGTTACATCTGACACGGAAGAAGGTTGCCAGTTATGCAACTTTCATTCCACGAGCATTCATGCGCTTCCTCTTGGCTCAGTTTACTTTGCAAGACTGGGTCAAGCATGAGAGGAAACAGGCAAATCCTAACCTTAAGGGTAGAGATTAGTGGTACATATATGTCTTGATCTGAAAGTCCAGTCTCACTGTATTAGCAGAACTCCATTTCAGTCTTCTCCAGGAATCGTACCCCAATGGTGGCAGAGCACACTTTCACACCTTTGGATTTTAGCTAGTTAACCATTTCTTATGGACTCCATAAAAAGGATCTAAATAATTTAGATTAAATCCTAATGGCTTTTTCACTTTTTATTGAACTCCACACTCCCATGACTTCTCACATTCTGTTTTTGAAAATCCTCTGTATCAAAAGCTCCCTTGAGCCTATGGAATTATTTGCATGGTTCTTTGGATCCTGGTCCTGGAGATTTCAAATGCATAACCTGCACCATGACTAGAATCCAGCACACTATGATCCAATCCAACTTACATTATTACTATAAATGTCTAAACTAAATGTGATATACTGTCATGAGCTTCTTTCCTGCATTTGTTTAAACTCCCAAGCAGCCTTATGACTTTTTAATTTTTTTAAGGTGTCATGGATGTAATTTTTGTACTGAATGGTATTGTATGATATGCTATTATTAATAAAATTTATTTAAAAATGAACTCAATGGGATTACTTTTGAGTTAGGTGTAGGATAGCCCACTATTCTTCTGACTAATCTCCCATTAAACATGGTAAGAATGTCTTTCAAGTAAACTTGCACAGGATTCCACTGCTGTGTTGTGGCAGCATGGACAGAATATGCCAAAGTTAAGCATCTAAGTGAGCACTTTCTACTCCAAGTTCATTACTCAAAAAATACATGGAATTGAATATACAATTTCCCTGGCAATTATATCAACTATTTAAAGTTAAGCACTCCAAATTCAGGAGGTATTCCCACTGAACTAAGACAATGCAGGTTTATTTAAATGGAACAACTGAGGTGAAAACTATGAATGGATGGCTGTAGAGAACAGTGAAATGCATAATTACTCTTTGCTCACCACTTAGGTCCCCTTCCCGTCTTGACCGTGGCACATTACGTGAAACAGTGGTTGAAAGGCCTTTTGAGGTAGAGTTCTGTAATGTAGGTTGTCCTGCAGTTAGAGACCAAGCAAGCCGTGCCCCCAGCTGTTGCCGGAGACACTCTCCCACTCCTGCACGCTGATAAGATTGTCTAAGGAAAGAAAAACTAGAATTAATAGAATTGGTTACTCAACTGTCTTATGTTATCCATTTATGTTACCCTACAACACCCAAAGTTTCAGCAGTTAATGACATTTCAATGCCACAAAATTACATGTGGAAAGTGTTGCTATCAAGACTAATTAGTACTGAGAAAGCGTTTGAAATTGACCATTTTGTAATTCTTCACCTTGTCACTTAATACCAATCCAACTAATTCAGCCTTGCAAATGCAAATCAATTATTTAAAAGAAAGGCTGGCATTTGTAGAAGGAAAATTATGAAATTGTGCCATAATCATAAAACAAAAGTCTTCTCACCCCAGCATTTCTGCTATATGGTTTTACTATATATAAAGTGTAGGGCCATGAGTTCCAAATTCTAAGAGCAGGCAGGCCCTGAGAAATTTAGATGTTCAGCAGATATCTTCTAAAATGTATTAAGCAAAGAACAGAACAAAGCAATTCTCATCTGTTCAGCACTTTGGTTACAATCACGAAAAATGATGAGGCAAATAATCAAAAGTGTATTTTAAAAAATCCCCATGGGTAGACCAGGCTTCACAACTGGGGCAACACCTCCGTTTGGCTACGGTCAAGTGGCTACAGTATCAAGGGATAAAAACTACACACCTTCCTGGAAAGTTTATTCCTCTCAAACTGCTAAAATATATCTAATGCCACAATTCTGGTACAAAATATTCTGGAGAAAATATTAAGGGATGGGACAGCCCTGGAAACTGAAATCACCTACTATCCTGGATGTCAGACCCAAACTGAATGGTTCTGAAAGCTGGGTGTGGTGCCTACTTCTCTCTGCTGCCTCAGAAAATTGGAATTAACAGGAAAGGGGAAAATAATTACTAGGACTTTATCTCAGGTAATTGTGCTTACATTCAGATATTTGCCTTGCCACTATCATGGAATTATTATGCAGTCATAAGCATATAACTATGGTGATTCCAACAATCCTGAAAGAATCTCTTCTCCCACACAAATGTACACACAGGTTAAAATAATGCCCAATTGTGCTTGCTTTTATAGGTTAGGTAGGCAGTGGCTAGAAAAGGCTTCTCAGTTCTATCTATGGAATATTCTCCCCATGGGAGTTCACCTAACACTTACTTTTTATGTCTTCTTGGCACCAAGCAAAGGCCTTCTTATTTACCTATAGATTTTTAAAAATAATTCTAATTTGGTTTCAGTCCCTGCTGAAATGTTTGTATTGCTCTGTTGTTTCAACTTTCTAATTGCTCATATTGATTTCACTGTAAGCCACTCTGAGGGCAGCATCATTGAAGGGCAGGTTATAAATAACTGAAATAAATAACTCAAATTAACCCTTAGTAGCATGTTGTGATGACAGTTGTATTCTATTCAGGCTGAATTCTTTGGAAAGCAAGCCTCCCAATTTACCTCAGCTACTATTTACTGAAGTAGAAATCACTGAATGCTTATCTGCAAGATGAACTAGTTTCATTTACCCTGGAAGAAATGATTGCGGAGTTGGTGTTGGCCCGTTTGGGACATACATGCCCAGGCTGCTGATCCCACTGCTGCCCATACTGCCAGAATTCAGAGCAGACTGGGCATTTCGGTCTTGGTAATTCAGCAGAAGACTCTGAGGCCGGGCATAGTAGTAAGGAGTTGAATGAGCATCCCGTGGTAGTGCTTGAGCAAAGAGTGCAGCAAAATTTGAGACCTTGAAAGGGGAAAAAATAATTTTAAAGAACCCCATATCCCTTGATTAAATACTCACACTCTTCCTATGACAGTTGCTTTTTACTAAGTGCCTGTAACTAACTGAGAATAAAACACAGTATACGCTTTTAACCAGAGCCAGCCCCAGTCTTTCCCAAAATCTTTACAGATAACTGATGTGCTCAACATCAGTGGGACTCATGCCTCCTGGAACACCAACCTGACCACATGCAAAGAGCACTGGCTGACGCTCTTTGCCACATCCCCCAGCTTCTTTCCACGACAGAAAGGGCTTTTGCAGCCGTAGAACCGCATCTGTGAAATGCCCTCTCCAGAAGGTGTCTCTTTTCCCAGGCATTTTTATTTGCCCAGGCATTTTTATTTGCCCAGGCATTTTAAAGCATCTTCAGTATTTTAAACCATCTGACTTTCAATTTCACTTTTATGCTGGTTATTTTGCATGTCTTTTACTTTTAATTTTTGTAAACCACTTTAAAATACGTGATTTAAGGGGCAGCATATACATATGTATTTGAAATAATTAAAATATAATTTACCTTGTTTGACTGCTTCCGTGGATCTTCACTAAGGCTGAGCAGGAGGTAGAGGATAGACCATCTGTTTTTCAGAACACCCTATCACAAGAAATAAGTATTAGAAAAAGGAGCACTTGCCCATGAGCAACTAGTGTCCACTTTGTATTTTAAGGGTGGGACTGGTAGGAGATGCTTCGTTTCAAATGGTATAACAACTATTGAGCACAACTGGTCTTACTGCAAAAAGGGGACATTCCTCATCCAGCTGCATGAGTCAAATTGATTAAAGCCTTCCAAATCAGGGTGTGCAAAATGGCGGGAGCACATGCAAACAGAGTATCAACGGCTAACTGCCACTAACCTCACTTTTGCACACAGGGATTCTTTTCTGTAAATATATTTAAAAAGACCAGACAAGGACCTATTTAACCCAGATCTGATGATGCCATTCAAGCATCCTTCAAAGCTTGTCTGCCTAGTGCTGTTTCAGTGAATAGACTATGATAACAATGCAATGAAGTACTCATATAAAGTAGCAGAAAGGGAAAATGCTTCCTTTCTTAATTGCATGCTTAATAGCTGACTTCTGGGGCTTTCTTTCAGACCTAGTTTGTTTGGTGTTCTGCGACATAAGAGGAAACACTTATTTAGGGCTTAAAGAAAAAACAGAAAGATCTCCCAGAACTGAATGCAAACTCACACACAACTATATGTAAGTGACTCTTCCACTGCTCCAAGAAGCAGGCCCAGTGCCAGGAGTTGGCATGGGAGAGCAGCCACTCAGGAATCAGAGGGTCAGGAAGGCCCATCCTGGCTGCTCAGACTACATCAGCAGCTTCCAACATCCCCCTCACTTTCCAATCAGGCAGCAAAAGGAAGTGCCAGGGTCAAGCCCGCAGGTCCCATGACAGCCTACTCTTTAATTTTTTTCCCCATTTTGCATAGCACTTCCAGTGGAGACACACACAACCAATGCGGGAGCAAGATAAAGAGTTGCCAAGAGGCTTGAGCACCCAGCAAAGTGGACTCTGGAAGTGGCAAATTGCTTTGGAAGGGTTGTTGGCAGATCTGTGCTGCAGACCCAAAGGATCTCCCCACGAGCCCTGCTCAAAAGGCTGGAATGTACTGAACTAGGCTCTGTAGTGAAGGAGAAAGGATCTCAATGTCAGGGAATAACTTGCTTTCTTGCAGCATAAAGTCTGTGAACTTTGCTGAACTTCACTGTCAAACCTGACTCATAATTTCTCAATCACCAAGTATGTTTCCAGAACCCTAGACCTCAAATATAAGAGACAGAAAACCAAGATCACTTAAGAGGCTAAAAGAATGCTCAGTCGATAAATCAATATACATTATGTTAAACACAGATAGCAGTAAGTTTAACATAAAAAGTAAAAACATTTTTGCTGACCTATGCCTTTCCCATAAAAAGTAATTTAGGGAACTAAAATAAATGCTATTTTTTAATTTTCATCAAAAATAAGCTCTTAGTGTTTCACAGGAGAGGAGATTAGCAAACACAAAACATTTTCAAAACACTGATTATCCACCCATCTACACATTGGATCTGGACTGTAGGATCTGGACTCATTCTTGTACCTGTGAGTGGAGTTTTCTGTAAAGCTCTGAAAATACAGCAGCATTTTCTTCCCTTCCCTGCCGCACAACTATAAAGAGAAAAGGCATATTAGGGCCATTATAAGCTTATCATGTGCAATATTAACACTTAAACCAATTTGTACTTTTACCCAGCATGATTATGTCATTCAGTGCATTCAGTGAAGGCCAGTGCTGTTGGTATCAGTTGTTTCTGTACTATGCAAATACTTTTCCAGTTATGTCTGAAGAATAAACCCCTATTTAATTCCACATGTCACTTTACACAAAAATAAAGTCCTACTTGATATTGTTCCTACAGAGGACATCCACATTAACACTATGATCATGCCTGCACTGTAACACCAGAAGTGCTAAGAATGGTAGCTTACAGTAATCAGACAGCCCATAGAAACAAGATGGGTACACACTGGCTATTTGCTCCTGCAGGACTCCTCATGCAAGCAGCAGAAGCTAAAGCAGCCCCCAACTTAGTGTGTTTTACTACCACTCCCATTATCTTGAAGTAACATGGAAATTGGTCATGATGGGGGAATCACAGAAGTTTACTTCATTTATAGCCTGTCTTTTTCCAAAGAACACTCCTCTTCATTTTATCCTCACAACAGATCTGCAAGATCAGTTACATTCAGAGTCAATGCCAGGCTCAAAGTCCCCCAGTGAGTTTCATGGCCAAGTGGGGAAAAGAACTAGATTTTCCAAGACTCAGGACAACACTCTAACCACTCTATGGCATTGGCTATCTTGTAAAACACTTCAGGAGAGAATCAGATTGGAGAAGGCTAGGCTAAACAAACTGAGAAGTTACTGTCATTAGAAGGCTTTTCCTCTAACAAGATATAGTTCAAAACCAGGGTATATAGTTGATTTCTGGCTCATTAGAGGAATGACAAGCCAACTGTTGGTAGGTTTCTGGTTACTTTTACAACCTTGCTTGTCATAGGACTCAACTGTGAATGATTTAGCAAAGCACACCAGTACACACTTGCTAGTCGTGCAAAGACTGCTTATATTAAAAGGCAATGTAAACATCAGCTTCTGCAGAAGGAAGCTGCATGCATGCATGCATATTAAAAAGTAATACATTTTTGTGGGTTTGTCACCCATCAGTTTTTCTGTGTAAAAGGTAGCTGAGAATTTATCTTCTGTGATACAGTGTGCAAGGAGCGAATGGCTCAAAAGCACCTAATATCCAAGCCATTATTTCTCTCCATTTTATATCCCTTTTGACTTGAGGCTCATTCTACAGAGTTAAAAGTCATAGCTAGATTGCCTGCCTCATAATGCCAATGTATCAGAACTTTTCCTGATCATGCAAATCACTTTATAATCAAAAAAGCAAACCAAACAAAAACAAAAAAACTATCCATGTGACTATGGCAGGAGCCAAGAAAGATCACCAGGAAAACATAACACACTGCAAATATTTTCAGCCAATGCATTTTTTATTTGAATACAACTTTCATTTCACCTTAAATTCAAAGTTTTTTCCAAGCTGCATTAGGGTAAAACAATCATGAAATCAATATAATGTTGCCAAGAGCATTTAGATAAACAGTCTGCTCTTCAAAACGTCTTCAAGGGCTAATAGTTAAAGCAATTGCACAATCTATGCAAAATAATCTCCTGTTATTCCACTCAGGAAGAAATTAGGAAACTCTTAGGATTTTTCAGTGGAGTGAATCAGAGAATCTAATATCTCGTCCATAGCCCTGCTGGCTCACAGTGACCACAGGAGTGGTCAAAGTGTGTGGGGGGGCCACCCTTCGGAAGAAGCAGATCCCACCCACCTTGCAAGCCAAAATGCAATGGAAGTTTCCTATGTCAGTGCTAGCCTAGTGAAGTGTGGACCCTAATGGATGGGACTTTGGAGCTACTTTATTCCTGGAATAACCCATTTGGGACCTTTAACTGACCGGCAGTGGTAGTTTCCTAACCATAGACCAATCCAAGAGCGCATCAAGCGTTTTTGTGGCACAGCAACTCTTCACCAACAGGGGCCTATAGAGGGACACCTCCACCCAATCCTAACCTCTTCCAGCAGGAATGCTTCATGGATATGGTTTGCTCAGTCTGTGATCCTAAACACACTCATTAGAGCATAAGGTTCACTCATAACAATAGGGCTTACTTTAAAATAAACATGCAAGTGTTTGTACTGTTAAGAGTAATAATGAAGAAGATATCATCTTTCACTCATTTTCAAATACCTTATATACCTTTACAAGTTATAAGGTAAAAAGTGCTGGAATCGGAATACTTCTGATATGTAGCCAATAGCCTATACAGCATACATATGCCAATTTGTTATTTCAATATATATATGTTGTGAGCCTGTTACAGCTCACAATAATTAAAGCAATTATCTGACGTTATTCAGAAATGCTCACAGAAAATGTTTCCATACCAAGAGATGAGAATATTGGCTTGTTCTTCAAAGACTTTTTTTTTTTTTTAACAAACATAGGGTTCCATGTCTGACCACAAGTCAGAGTGAATGACATCATCACTGCCTAGTTTTCTACTATTTAACTACAAATGATCCCCTCTTAATATTCACACTTGTCTAAATGTTTCTTTGGAAATTATAATATTGAGTGCATGAACTAAAACATTGTATGATTTTACATCAACTGAAACTTGCAGTTAGCAAAAACCAACTCTAAGGTCAATCAGTTGTATGCCTGTCTCAAAAGAAGCTCTCCATACTTGGAACATGTCATTTTCCAGTTTGCACAAAGGACTCCATTTTGGTGTATATCAACCAAGGTCAGAGCCACGTGCTACTAAAATGAAAGGAAGAAAGCTCTGCTGTACAACAGACTCCTGGAAGAGAATTTTTTTTTAATTCCAGGGGCTCTTGATGTACAAAATGGGCTACTTCAGGGGTCCAACATACACAAGAACTTTATATTTTTAAAGACAAAAAGGATAACTGCTCTATAAGTGCCCACAATCTATTGCAAGAGACTAAAAATCCTGGAACAAAAGATAGTTAAAGGTAGTTAAGACAATCATCTGTGTTAAAATACTGTGATATATTTGTAAATAAATATACGGAGAGATAAAGCAGCTTACCTCCTTATGGAATCCACAAAAATGCAGGACTCATACACCCAAGCTTCCCACACTAATTTACCCCACAGTTGACCAACTTTCATTCTGTTGCTCTGAATCTTATCTTCAACATGACTCCTCAGAAGTAAGTCTCACTGAGTTCAATGTGGTAAATGTGTACAGGACTGCAGATACAGCCCTTAAGCCTCCTTACCCTTTTTTCTTCACTTGCAACAGTTCTGTGAGCTCACTTTCATACTTAAGATTGGACAACTGAGGTCAGCATCATGTGTACTTCATAATCTTTCTCTGTGTTGCTGCTAGCAATTATAATGCAGACTGAATGAGTGTGAAACTACAGAATCTACCCTTATTGGAGAAACATTGCTATAAAAGTTATGTTTCATATTTTCTCTGTCATCATGAGGGCTAAAAAATTGTTCAGAAGTGCTCAATATATCACTATCAACTCATATTTTTCTGTTAAATTTAGCTAAAAGAGCAATATTACTAAGAGTTATAAAATACAAAAACAATTATAAATGTATTTATTAATTATACTTAGAAAATAGGCATTTTGTATTGATCAGTAATGCAGTCATGCTCCATTATAATGAACAAAAATTATGCATTAAAAAACTTAAGATCAAAATGTTGTTAAAAATAAGAAATAAACATACGTTCTTTTTTAATTTTTTCTGCTACAAGAAACTCATCTCTTTCAACTGTAGGAGCAAAGTTGCTTCCAATGACTCGCACTGCATACTGAAACTGCTGGGCTACATCAGCTGAAATAAATCACAATGAGACAACATTTAATAAGAGACTGCATGCAACCAAGTAGATATAAAAGGATGTACATACACACCTTGAAATTCATCATTTTAATACAGTATCATGAATATAAAGTCTTTCCGTATTACTAAAATTTTTAGTCTAATAGTACCTTCTGTTTGGAAGCAGGAAGCACAGAGCTAAGAAACATATGTTGGATGACTGCCATAGCTAAAATGCAGGGTTATAGAAGCTTGAAGTCTATTTACAAGCACATTAAGGATACAGTGCTCCTACCTTAAAGAAGTAAAAACAGTCTGACATTTTCATCACTCATGGTCAGGCCAACAAAGCAGCACATGTCAACAACCAGGTAGTAAATGTTAGCCCAGCAAAGAAAACTTTCAGATGACTTGAAAAGAAGGAGCAGAGGGAAACAAGTTCATACAGCCCACAAATCTATGGGGCTGTTTAAGTGTTCAAATCCAAAGATCAAAAATCCTCTGTGGGATTTTCTGTTGCTTGACCCTAACAATTGAGCAGCCCAGTTTCTTCCCAGCTCACCCTCCCTCCCTGCCAGTTCCTTCCTTTTCTCAAGGGAGAAAAGGGTTGCTGTGGGAAAATGTGGAGAGGCCATAACAGAAAATGCAGAGCAGGAAAGGCACCAGCCAGAGTGTCAGATACAGCAGGGATCATGGCCCTTGCATACAAGTCCACAATTTCTAGTTGCAAATGGTGGAGGTTGCAACCGTAATTTCATTCAGGGCAAGCTCACAAGGAGGCTGTGCCCACCTCATATTGGGAATGGTTTGATCTGAGCAGGGATGCTCATATTTGCAGGCAACCTCCTTGAAATAATTACACCACTTCTGACAGTGCTCATTTGGATGCTTACAGTTCAGTACATGCTACCAGAATAAGAAAGTGTTGGATTAAGATGAACCTTACATATCCCAGCACACACTAAACCCATCTCTAAATAACATCCTAAGGAAGATGCTCCCTCCCTGTAAGATGTATCAGTGAATTTTTCTAACCCCTTCCCCTGCCTACTTCAAGCACTAAATTTCTCTGGGGAGGAAGAGTTCTCTCCGCCACTCCAGTTGTATACAATATCCAATAGTAGTTAGTACTACTGTTATACTGTTGTGCACTACCAAAAGTTTAGATCCGTATTATATTCTCATGAACAAATTCTGCAGTGAACACTGGCCCATGGTATAACCAAAAGAGGGGCTTATTTCCTGTATCCTCCTCCTCGTCTTCTGATGTGCATGAGAACAACTACTGCTTCCAATAAATCTGCCAATGGATCCCAATTTATGTATCCTTTATGCATTGTTGTTGTCCTACTCCTAATGCCGTTTTTTATCTTCACTACTCCTTCAAAGTTTGCTATGTTAAATATTCAGTTTCTACTCTAAGGAGGCCTTGAAATCTCTCTGCAACATTTGGTATGTTTTTACCTTTAATAGTTGGAGGAAAATAAAGCATTACGAACATGTAACATTTATCAAATATGAGACATTTTATCAGGAAGGACAGGGTAAAAATGTCATAAGTAAGTAAGTAAGTAAGTAAGTAAATAAATAAATAAAATGTGTAGCCTGCAACAAAATGTTGCAGTGTGGAGCACCCACTGTTCAGGTTCCCAGCCATGCCATTCACTGTCAACATTTTGTGCTCCCCTTCATGCTTAGTCCTTACTGGTGGGTTTTACCAGATTATTTTCCCCTCAAGTTTTTTTTATAGTCCTGCAAACCTGAGTTTGCTGATACTTCTATTTTATGCGGAGATGGTATTGCTTATTGGGCTTGCATAAAGAAACAGCAATCAAAAATGAGATGGATAGAAAGATATTTACACAAACACATACACACAGTGTTCAGTAACCATCTCAAGGCTAAAGGCCTACACATTTTCTCTTTTTGATGAACTTAGAATGGAATAAAGGTAGCACATCTCTATACTGTATGAAATTGCTAAACTTACAATTTGAAAAAAGAGAAATAGTATGAGTACCATTATTTTAACCCAAGCAATCTTGAGATAAAAAGCTGACCCTTTGTACTCCCTATCTGCTCTTTAAAGTCAGCTTCCCTGTTAGACACTTAATTCTACATCTTGCAGACAGGGTGAGCAAAATGAAGGGCTGCAGGACAGATCCTGTACTACAGAGACAAATGCCAAATGCTCTGCATACTAGCATTTTAGGAAAGAAGCTTTCACCTTACAGATGCTACTGTCTTTCCTAGTTGGCACATACAGAAAAATAAACAAACCAAATATCCCTCCAAGGACAAAATGCAACATTTCTTTAAACCTATCTATTAGTCTTTCAGTGATGTAGCCTCCAACCCATTGGAAGTTAACTGTAATCTAATCCCTTTACATTAACACAAGAGAAATGTTGAATTGACATACACCAAAAAATTAGAAGATTTTTTTTTCTCCATAGGAGACAGTTAACTTTAAAGTATATACCACTAGGGAATTCATTAAAATGCGTGACAGCTACACTTCATAAACATGAGAACCACGTAAGTAGGATATAAATTAGCAATGGTGTACAGCAGACAGAGCACAACTATGAAGACACCTGCTTGCTTGTAGATTTCAACAACTTCAAAAAAAAGAAAAAAGTTAATAGCTTCACAATCAAAGGATTTATGAAGAATTCTCCAAAGAATTGACAGCGCCAAGGCAATTCTGTTCACGAAGTGCTTAAAGGAAATAGAAAAACTGATGGCTTTATTGCAGACATGCTCTAAGAGCAAAGTTTAATCATTTAAACTAAGCATGCTTCTGTGGTAGGGAAATTTCTCTAATGCTTAGAAAAAAATGTTCTTAATCACTTTTTTTCCAAAATACTCTTCTCACCAGAGGTATTTCTACTCAAAATTGTACTTTTTGCTATACAAAGCCTAGAAACCACTCTGAACAAATCCTCTCTAAAAATCAGAGATAGTGTTAGCTGCTGCAATTCAGAAAATTAAATTAGAAAAGGTTCAAGAATAGAACTATTTCAACTGCCACAGCTACAGCTAGTGCCTTCTAGACATTTTTCAAGATTAAGAAATTAAGCATATTTGGTTAAATCATGGGATTGTGTTATTTTCCAAAAACAACAGGTAGTAAACAGAGCACAAGTACTACTTTCTGAAGATGCTTTAGAAGTCTAATGTCTAATGAAACATCTAATGAAATATGGACCTTTGAGCCATAGAATCCAATTTCCTATAGCATCAAGCATTTGCTATCTTTTCTTCAAAGAACAGGAGGAAGTTATTACATATGCAATAGCTCTTATTTACTACAAAGCTTTCTCCATTTGAAGTCAGAAGATGATATCTCCTCAACTTCTCCTATTTCAAAGAAATGTTTAAAAACTACTATTGACTAGGTCTCCATTGGCACAGCAAAACATTGTGGAAAACTAGCCATGGTGGGTTGTTAAACTGAGCAAAACTAGAGTACTTTCAGGAGAGCACCTTGTTTTGAAGCAACAATCCGTCTTGACAACCCATGGCTTGTCCTAGGGATTATAAACCCCTTTTTGGTCACATTAACACATTTTTCACTTTTGTGATCTGTTCATAATCTTTTCCGGTGACACCCACTGACAATTCTTCCAAAACACACAAGCAATACATTGGCATAGCCATCACTGTTTTGCCGTCTTTTTATAATTTTTAGCATCAAAAAATTGTGCAGAAGTTTTCATAGTTTTTAAAACAGAAATTAATGATGGTGATAGCCATGTGATTAAAAGTCCACATAATAAAGTTTCATTCCATGAAAAAGGAACAAACCACAACTGCATTTCAACTGTAATAATTACCCTGACACCAAAGATTATGCTATCTACGGAACAGCAGCCACAATTGGGCAATGGCATTAACAGAATTAATAGCCATCCCTTATTAAAGGCCAACACAGTTCCACAGGGAATAACAGATGTATCCCAGGCCCAAGGCTATTTATGACTTCATTATCCCAGAGATTTTATTATAGTCCCTGATCTCCACGTCAAGTACACTACCAGCATCATCACCTATGCATGCACCCACATCAGCTGGTCAGCAGGCTTGAATTGGCCTGCTACCATAAACACTAAACACCAACTTGTGTTACCATGTGATTTGCTGGCCTTCCCTATAAATACCCTGATCAGATATAGCTCAATCAAAGCATATTCCTGAATGTATGGAAGTAACTGTGTTAGCTTTGAAGTGGAAAATCCTAAGGTATCTAAGAATAAGGTAGGATATTTTTAGTTATCCTTCAGGATGAGATGCATTTTTTTTTGTTTTGAACATTTTGCCTTGGTAATCAAACTAGTGCTAGATTGATTTCCAAGCCAAGATGGAAGGAATGTTGCAGTCTACAGTATAAGGAGGACAGTTCCAATTACTTTTTTTTTTTTTTGCTCTTATTCTTTTTCCTCTATCTTTGACTCTTCAACTGCCCCTTTTGAAAGGTAGCTATTTTCTCATTAAGAGGATATACTGTAACATACAATACTATAATTTCTCTACCAGCTGTGTGTATTTAAGCAGTGCACACTAAGTTCTGCATCTTGCTTAGGAAGTGGAGTTTACAACTACTTCACTAACTAACAAATTAACAGTGCAATCCAGGGCAGGTGCCCATCAGTCTCCAAAGCAGGCATCCTATGGTGGGTGGAAGAAGTGCAATTAAAAGTAGCATAAATGCTTTTCCCACCACTGTGTATGCTGGAGAGGCCTGTCTCCTCCCCTCCCATCAGACCACCTGAAAAACACCATTTGTAAAGTTGTTCTAGCAACTTCAGAGTCACAGCCAGCAGTTTTTTCCATGCTGGCTGCAAAGGCACTTCCTATGGATGCCTAAACAGCATATAAGATTGTGCACTAAACTTATGGAAACATCTTTATCTGCTCACAACCATGTATATTAAAATCCCTTATAATAATCTGTCAAAACTGCATCTGGAAGTCTTTTACAGTTTCTATGGTTGTATTTGGGCATTAGACTATAGAAAGCTAACCTTTGGCTCTCTAGGCAAAATTACCTTTCCAAATTCTGCCTACACTGGCTCAAATATAGTCCATGATTTACTTATTGTATGTTCCTCTTTATCCAGTAACATAGGATGGAGCTGGGTGTTTGCTTTTTTTTTTTTTAAGCAGCGTCTCAACAATCTGCAGTAAACATTGCAGCTAACCAAGGCATAAATGAACCTCATAATTCATGTTCAGTGCTCCAGCAGTCAGGCTGAGTTTTGTGCTGCATACCTGTTGTATTAGCTCTTATGAGGCTACATCCTACCCTCCGAGTTGAGGACAGGACGCTATTCCCACATCATACACACAACAGCCCTGTGAAATAGGTGAGGCTGGGAGGCGCAGTAACTTTTTCAGGCCACTCGCTAAGCTTTAGATGAACAAAAAGACGTGCCACTACAGCCTTCTTCCTATGCTACACGTTAACTATTCCGCAGGCTCCTCTTTGGGCGGGATGGAGGCGGCTGAGGCGCAGGAAGCGACTCGATAGCAACCCCGTCCACTCCCCCAAGCGATTCCCGGGGCACGTGAACCAGCTGGGCTGCTCAGCTCGCCCACCGACACGGCGGCAGCTGCCCCCTTCGTCGGCATGCGACATTGTTATTGGGGAGGAGGGGAGACGGAAAGCATTCCTTGCTCCGCCTGTAGAGCACAAGTGGTTCTGACAGTAGGGAGGGAGGCAGCCGTGATCCTTTCCCCCACCCCGCCCCCTCCCCTCCAGAGATCAAGCCTAGCAGGGGGCTGAAGAAGTCTCTTACGGGCTGTCTGGGGAGCAGGCAAGCTAAGCAGTTACCTTCGCCCTTGCCCAGGATGCGGCAGCACAGGTTCTGCAGCAGAACGTTGGGGGACTTCTGATCCGGGCTCGCCATCCTCGAATGGGCGGCGGGAGGGAGGGGCGCGCTCCCACTAACAGTCCCCCTCTTCAGGGGGCCGCTCCTCCAAACCTCCCAATCCGGGGCTTGCCTGGCTTTAGGGCGCCATTTTAAGAGAGCCCGCCGAAGGGAGAGGGGAAGGTAAGGGGGGGGAAAGCAACGGTTTTCAAACGCGGCCCCCCACAATGCCCCGCAGCCCGGGCGGCGCAACAAAGAACACCTTCCGCCGTGCAACTGCTAGTTACAGCGAAGGAGTTCCGGATATAAACGGATGCTTGCCAAACCAAGGGGCAGCGAGGGCAGTGCTTTTGTGCCCTTAATTTGTTTCTTGCCATTTCTTTTTTTCTTTCTTCCATCTTCCCCCCAGAAACACCGAAGCCGTGATTTTATTCACGATCAGTTACATTCCATTCGCGTGAGGACGCCAAGGAAACAAAAAGAGGCTCCTCCGGGGTTGTCATAGGACTACTGTACTCCGGTACGTCTCCCACACCGTGACGTCATCGCTTTTTAAATTGTTGGAGCGCCCTCGGGTAACAAAAGGCTGAGTCGGCTTCGCCCGCCTTCGTAGCGCGCTCTTTCGTGGAGGATCGTGCGGAAGTTTGCTTCTAAAATAGCAAAAGTGCCATTCCTTGCTGCTTTACGGGAAAGCATAACACGTGCAGTCTTAGCCTGCAAAGTCCTTGAATAATCTTGCAGCCCGTGAAGCCAATATCTGACTTTCCTCCAAAGCTCTGACAGGCCTTCAGTCCACTCCTTTATTGCCTGGCACCTAGCTTGCACACATCATCTATTTATTAAATATGTAACTAGCTGGACAGTGAATAAAGCTGACAAGACGACTGCGGTCTTCAACACATGGTGCTTTAAGGAGGGCTTTGTGAATATCCTGCAAGTGGGTCCTAGGTCAAATCAACTCAGAACTTTCCCTGGAGGCAAAAATGAAGCTATCATACTTCCTCCACATCATGAAAAGGCAAGATTAATTGGAGGAGGCAATCATACTGAGGAAATGTGAAGGCAGATAAGGGACTAAATACGAGATGCATTGACTCCCTAAGGAAGCCACAGCCTTGAAGTACTGAGGGCTGTGAAGGACAGGACATTTTGGAGGACGATCATTCAAAGAGTTGCACTAATTCATAGGGTTGCCTTGGGCAATTCACAAGAGGCAACAAAATGGAATATAAATGCAATGTAATGATAGGACAGAGACAACTTGACAACACATAACAGCACAACTAGCAGGAGTGATATGTTGCCCAATAACCCACTAATTCCAAGTGTCTTATAATAAAAGTGAAAAACATTAAAATACAATTCTAAAATAAAGACAAGAGCATATAATGCAGCCTTTTTGAAATCCAGCCAGAGAAACACCAATGATATTTTATTGGTGAATTTTAAAACAATTCATTGGGGTGTCATCTGTCGTTTGTTTGTTTTATTTTTTGCCTTCTAGTCCATTCTAACTATAGTAGTACCTCAGCTTACGAATGCCTCAGTTCATGACCAAGTCGGATTGTGAACAGAAACTTTAGAAAAATGTTACCTCAGGTCACGAACTCTGCATCGGGTGACGCTCGCGATCGCACCTGTCTTCCCTGCACGGGTGCAATCGGGGTCATGCTGGGGGTGGGGGGGAGATGGCCGCAATCGCGCCTGTCCTCCCTGCCCAAGCGCAACCATGATCACACCCGTCTATGGCCATGGTCATGCTCATGAAGGAAAGATGGCGCAATCGCAGTCATGATTGTGCTGGGGGTGGGGGGAGATGGCCACAATCTTAGTTGTTCTTTGTCACTTTGCTTCAAATTTTTGTGATTACAAAAAAATAGTTACAGAACGGAGTAACCTTATTTACATTGAACCTTATGGGGAAATTTGACTTGGCTCACAACCAATTTGGGTCATGACCAGAGTCCTAGAACGGATTAAGTTTGTGAGCCGAGGTACCACTGTATATTCCTAATAGATTGCTTAAAAATAAAGATATCCCAATAAATGGACAGGCCTCTGCCTGTCTGGATGTGTTTCTAAAGATGCTTATTTATGTAAGCCGTCCCGAGGCTATGCGATGGGACGGCATACAAATGCAATCAATCAATCAATCAATCAATCAATAAATGTGACTGACTTCTGGACTCTGGAGGTGAAGTCTTTAAAATAAATAAATAAATAAATAAATAAATAAATAAATGTGACTGACTTCTGGACTCTGGAGGTGAAGTCTTTGCGGACTACTGCAAGACCTTTTGTCCTTTTACCAGAGCTCTACAGGTTACAGAATGGTGTAAATCAAAGTGGCATTCTCACTGAAATATGGGAGACGCATCTGCCCATGTGAAGTTTTCAGACTGAAACATCCCCTCCCTCCTTACTTTCCTTTCGTAAAAGATTTTGACTCCCCCAGGGTGGCTTCTGTTGTCTGTGGGCCACATAATGAAAGGCCATAATGGTTAACTGCTCACTTTGCTATCATCTCTTTACAAGGAAGCCCTGCTCAAATTCCCTACCACCATCCAGTTCTAAAACTACCCCTCCTTTTCCAAGGCAGGCTGGTTCTCATGCTCTGAGAATCTTTAGTAGGTAACCTTGAAACTGCAAAGTCCTCTTCAGTCCCTTCACCACATTCTCAGAAGCAGACAAATCTATCTGAGCAGGCTATAACATGCAAGAGCTGCTGCTATCTCTACAGCGGCCATCACACTCTTTGATCCTTGCAAGAAGAAGTGAAATCAGGTTTCCTTACTGGAGCTCTCTTGACCCATTTCTGTGAAGAACTGCCAGGAGAAGCATAGTAATATTGCTACCATGACAGTTTTGAATCACTGACTATAAAAGCAAGGGACAGCTTATTTTAAGTACAGGACTCAGTTCCTCCAGATGTTAGTAGATTACAACTCTGATCATCCTTGACTACTACTATACTGGTTAGGGTTAGGGCAGGTGGGAGTCTACAACAGCTGAAGGGTCATGGGTGGGTAGTTGGCTTTAATTTCAGATGTGAAATACTTTAAGGTTGAAGTCCTAAACATACATGGAAGACATGTATTGTAATTGAAATCAGTGAGATTTTCTTGCAAATTGGGGTAGAAGTAGGAAATATGCAGGCCTTGAATATTTCTCTGGTCAAGTAGGAAATTAGATCAGGTGTATGAGTTGAGAAAGCAATTAGTAAACACTCTTGAGAAGACTCGGGATGTAATAAATTACATCAATCTGTGATTACCTGATATGCAGTCAGTGTCTGTTATAACTCAAATTTTATTTTGATGAAAAAGTCTATATGCATTGCACATCAATATCAAATAAAACAGATAAACATGCAATAATTGGTTCATCTGTAAATATTGTCATTTTTATACATAGTAACTGGGTAAGTTTCTATTTTTCTCTGTATAACGAAATAATGTTATATAAGCAAGGAGCATGGCAACAGCTAACTCCTCGGCAACTGCTGATGTACATGCTTTATTAAACCTACTTACTTGGATAAATCTAAATGCAGAGTGGAGGGTTTTAAAAAAAAAATCCACAGTTGCTAATTTGATTTATATTCTTACAGAGATATGCTATTCATATTTATCTGAGACTCATCCTTATGGAACATTATAGAACTTACTTCTGAGGAAACCTAGGATAGACTTACTAAAGAATTATTTCATAAAATCTTTTGCAAATAATTTTATATTGACTTAATTTTTTTAACTAGTGTGTTCTTAAATTTTGTCTCTGCTTGGTGCTGTAAATGTTTTAATGTTTGCTGTTGTGGGAGTTTTTGTCCTAACAAGCTGGATATAAATATTCTGAAACATGTAGAAAAATTGCCTCCAACCTTCTGGGACATGGGGGGCACATTAGAGTGCCCAGTGCCTAAAGAGGGCAACATCTTAAATCAAAATATAACACAGTTATTAACTTACCTATTTAGATCAAAAGTAAATGTTAATTCTGTTGTGAGCCGTGCTGAGGCTTTGTTGCGATGGGGGCGGCAGATAAATGTTTTAAATAAATAAATAAATGTTCAGAAGGCGATTAAGAAATGCTAACTTGAATGCAATCCTTTTTGGAACAATATTTTACTGTAGAATCCTTTTATCTAGCTACACATGCTTACCTGAGTGTGATTTTTGCAGCAGCTCTCGGTCAGCCAAGGAATTAATGTCCATGTCAAGGTTTGCGACACTCCCTTAAACTGTCATGTAAATGTTCAACTGTAAGTCTTGACCTACACTTGGATTTCACAATTTTCATCTTAGAAAAAGTTTGTTCACAGATGCACATTTTACCAAAGACTGAAGATGCCTGCAGCAAATTTCTTTAGGTTAATAAATATATCAGGTAGACAAAATAGAAACCTAATAGACTATTTTATTTATAAATGACTCAGAGATGACCATGTGCAAATCAATTAGTTCCTTCTGAAAAAAGTTACTTGCATCTTTTGGTGCTACTTCAAATGGATTCTGAAACATTCTTACTTCCTTTCCATGCTCACGGCAAACGGTGAATGTGTTCTGGAATTCCACCTGTAATAGGTTCAGTGCTTTGATGTGTCTTTCAACACTGAATTGTACATTCCCATCCTTCTCAAATTTTAGCTCATTGCAGCATGAGATGTTTAAAAAATTATCTTCCTACTGTTTAGTTTTGCTTCAGAAGCTTTCAATTCAGAATCCATGTCACACACAAGCTTACCTTTTCCCTGCAACCTTGGATTCAATGTGTTCAGATGCTCTGTGATACAATTTAAGAAAGACAAATCAAAAATCCATCCAGGGTCAGAAAGTATTTCCTGATCTTTTCTTTTCTCCTTGAGAAAGGCATCAACTTCATGAAGAAGACTGAAAAAAACATGTGAGGATTTTGCCTTTGCTAAGCCATAGGACTTCCGCATGGTACAATACATCTCCATATTCTGCATCTATGTCTGAGAGAAAATTTTGAAACTGATGATGAATAAGGCCATGATGACACATGTAATTAATGCTGGATACAACAATACACATCATACTTTTCCAACTGAAGAATCTTATTATGCAAGGCTTGTGGAGTGAGGTAAGATGCAGTGAAATTGCATGGGAAGTGTACTGTTTAATTTTAGTAATTCTTCACTGATTCTTGCACCCACCCCACGTTTTACTTCCTACCATATTTCTTGCACCTTCAGTT